GGCCAGAGAGCACTGGGTCTCTAAGGCACGTTCCCATTCTGCAGCCTCTGCTAAGGGTGGGCGGTCAGAGGTGTTGCTGTGCAGAACTGGGAGCTGGAGTGTGGAGCGGGCATGACTACCCTTCAGATCTGATTGGGCTTTTCCAGATGCTGAAGGCTGAGGGGCGTAGGTGGTGGGGTCTAAAGGACACCAGTTGACAGGGGTCAGGGAAGGGTGTCAGCAGCCTGGAGGCCTGGCAGCACAGAGGTGTGCTGAGGGGGTCTGCCGTGCGGACCAGGGGCCTGAGGCTGGGCCACTGTCTGGGGACCACAGACCTGCAGAAGAAGGCTGTGCTTGGTTTAATGTTGTCCTTGTTTGGGACTCCTGGTCTCTTTTCTGGCCTCTGTGGTGCTGGGGATGAACCTAGGGCTTCCATGTGCTGGGTAGGCGTCCACTGAGGATCCCTCCCAGCCTGCCACTGTGTCCTCGCTCATGGTCTCTGCCCTGGCACAGGTCTTGCTCTGCAGCCTGGTGTAGGAACCCTAGGACTGGGACCTTTCTCAGAATGGATGCAGAACAGCAGTGAGGGTGTGCAGGTGGCCCTTGTAAAGGAACCTGCTGGGCAGATTGGTGGCAGAGCCAGGAGCCACACCTGGCCTCCTCCCTGACCTGGGTTCCTTATCGTGGGTGTACGTCTCTGTGAGTTCTCTTGCTGACCACGACACCTGGGACTTTCTTGCATCCACTCCCACCCCCGTGTGTGTCAGTGAAGATTCAGAGTTGGTATCTGCAGGACCCCCAGGCCCTTGCCCTAGTTGGAGGTGAGCAGTCCTGGAAGGAGCAACCTGGTGTCAGGAACCACCTTCCCTTGTGACACTGTGTTCTGCTTTGCCTGAGGGGTCAGTTACCCATAGTCAGCCTCTGCCCCAAAATACTAGATGGAGAATTCCAGAAATAAGCCACTTGTAAGTTTTAAATTGCACGTCATCCTGCATAGCATCCTTTGCCAGCACCTGCGTACTGTGTGTCCTGGCAACCGTGAATGTGTCCCGCGGCCGTCTTGGTGCCTGGACATGCTGCTGTGGTTCACAGTGCTTGTCCAGTGGCCTGCATTTCCTGGGTGGCGCTCCAGACCCACGCCTTGTGCGTGTGCAGTTGTGGTGGTTCTGCTCTGCCACTGCCTGTAGTTCACAAGTTGCTGTACCTGTTTGTAAATTAAACTCTGCCACAGTCATCATGCTGAGGGCTTTGCCATGATCCACGCATCTATTGGGAGTCTTGGGAATGTTCCCTGCAGATTAAGGAGGGCGACTATGTATGGTTCAAGGTGGGAACAATTAAAAAATTTTTTTTAGGGCTGGGGATGTGGCTCAAGTGGTAGCACGCTCGCCTGGCATGCGTGTGGCCCGGGTTCGATCCTCAGCACCACATAACAACAAAGATGTTGTGTCCACCGAAAACTGAAATAAATATTAAAAAAAAAATTTTTTTTAGTTGGAAGATGGACACAATACTTTTTTAAAAAAATGTTATTTTTAAAATTTTAGGTGGACACAATATTTTTATGCGGTGCGAGGCAAGAACCCAGTGCCTCACATGTGCTAGGGGAGCGCTCTGCCGCTGAGCTGTAACTCAAGCCCATAATTGTGTTTGTGTTGATGAAGTGTTTTTTACTGTGGTGTGTGCTCTGCTACTGAGCTATGTCCTCAGCCTCTGTTGGGGAAGTTGTGGGTGTTCTCCACAACTGGAAACTGGGGCAGGGAAGCCCCTTGTGCCCGCCGCCTGGCGTTCCTAGTCCCAGCCAACTGTGAGGGTAGGCTTTTACCTGGGAGACATTCTCAGTTGCTTCTCTGGGCTGCGGGGTTGGTTTTCGTGAGAGGAGATTGGGTAGTTGCTCAGAAGAAGGAGCTTCTGACCCTGGGCTGCAGGAGGATATGACAGCGGGGTTCTCCCTGAATCCAGAGACCAGGACTGTTCACAAACCAGGGCTCCTGGGCTCCCTCTCTTGGAGCCCTGAGTCACAGGAGGAGCACAGCTGAGCTGGGATCGGGGCATTGCACTGTGCATGTCAGGGCTTTCTGTGGACAGAACGGGGGTCAGTGAGTGTTCACAGCTCTATTCAATGCTGGGATCACAGGCGTGCACCCCTCACCTCAGTGAATTGGAGGGGGTTATGAGGAGCACCAGAGGGGAGCTGGCCCAGGGCACTGCTAAGTTCTAGGCCAGCCTGGCAATGAAACAAGACCCTGCCTCAGAACACAAAGGGCTGGGAAGCTGGGTGTGGTGGTGTACACCAGTGATCTCTGTGAATGGGGAGTCTCACAAGTTTGAGGCTAGCTTAAGCAACTTAATGAGATCCTACCCAACCTGCGGGGACTCTGTCTCAAAAGGACTGGGGATGTGGCTCAGAGGTAGAGTATCCCTGGGTATACTCCCCAACGCCTCTCCACACACACACCCCCCACACACAGAAAGGACAGGAGAAGGTGTCTTACGACAGAAGGCTTCAGGCTGGGATGTAGCTGGGTGGTGGAGGGCTTGTCTGGCATGTGTGAGGCATGCCACCAAAAAAAAAAAGAGTGTGTAGTAGAAAAGGCCACATAGTATGTGGGACTCCACTGGCACATTCCAGAGCAGGGTCTGTAGAGACAGGGAGTGTCAGACATGTGCACCATGTCGGAGAGATAACAGGGTGACTGCTGGCGGAAGGGTTTCTTTTTGCGATGATGAGAATGTTCTGGAATAGGATTTGGACCGTGGTGATAATTGCACAACTCTGGATACATTAGGTGAATAGAATTGATACGTTTTTTATTTTCCTGCAGGGTTGGGGATGGAACCCAGGCCCTTGTGCATGCTAGGCAGGCATCCACCACTGAGCTGTACCACAGCCTGAATTTACACTTTCTTTACTTATTTATTGGTATGTGGGATTTTTTTTTGGGGGGGGGGTACTGGGGATTGAACTCAGGGACACTCAACCACTAAGCCACATCCCCAGCCCTTTTTACATTATATTTAGAGACAGGGTCCCTTTAAGTTGGTTAGAGCCTTGCTAAGTTGCTTAGGGCCTCACTAAGTTGCTGAGGCCAGGTTTGAACTCGTGATCCTCCTGCCTCAGCCTCCCGAGCTGCTGGGCTTACCGGCGTGCAGCACCTCACCAGGCTAATATGTGTTTTGGATATTGATATCCAGGACCTTGAGCATGCTAGGCAAGCTTTTTATTGTCCAAGTCGCATACTTTAAGGGCCAGTTGTATGGTCTGAGAATTATGTCTCAGTTGAGATGTTCTGAAACAAGACTCCAGGGTGTCTGGAGAGTCGTTCTGATGCTACTGAGTGCTCAGGTGTGCTCAGCCCTTTCCAGGGTCCTTTCAGACATGCTCTCCTTTCTTGCCAAGCATCCCTGTGGGGCAGGCACTGTCCCTTGCTGTAGAGCTCTGAAAACCATGGCTTGGCTGAGATCAGGCACAGGCCTGGAGCTGCGCCTTTGAGCTGCTCAGCAGGAGCCAGTTGGTAGCACTGCATGGGCCTGGTCAGCCAGAGTGTGGTGCTGGCCCCAGGCCCCATGAGGCTTGACAGTCCTTCGTGCTCCACCCCACATGTATCTCTGACACTCCAGGTGCCAGGCTCAAATTCTAGTTGGTTTGCTCATGCATCCCAGGTGCCCAGGAGAGTCTGGGGTGACCTTGGGACAAGTATGGGGCAAGAGATCCAGTGTGCAGTAGCAGAAATAGTTCCATGGAGTTAGAACACGAGCCATGTAGCCTGGTGGTGTCTTTACTTTATTAACCATGTAGGAAATATTTCAGCACGTGCACTGTGAAGCTGTCATTGAGATTCTGTGTCCCCTTCTGCCCCCATCTGGAGATGCCGGGTGTGGTGCGCGCTTGTGGCCCTCAGTCTGCAGCAGCTGCCTTTCAGATGCTCACTGTTCGTGTGGCACGTGGCTGCGTGCTGGAGAGCTAGGGGCCGCACTGGGAAAGTCTGTGGCCCCTGGGGTGTGGTGAATGAGGTGCAGGAAATCTGGAGGCAGGGGCTTGAGCAGAGAGCTCCTGGAGACAGGGTCGGGAATGCTGCAGGTGCTCTGTCATGGCAGCCAGCTCCAGGCTGATGGAGAGCGGCTGTGGACGTGAATGTCGTGAGGCACAAAGGCCTTGGGAGAGCAGGGTGGGCTGGTGCTGGTGACGTCCAGATTTTGTCTTGCAGCTTCTCAGTCTGGATCCAGGGGCACCAAGGAAAGCATCTGGGTGTGTGCAGGTGTGCATGTGCCTGAACACCTCTTGAGGGTGAGGGTCCGGATCTTCAGGCATGGTCACTGTAGTGGGCGGGGAGCCACGGTCCTGTGTGTTTTTGGAAGGGAGTATGGTGAACCTGAGGAGTGGGCGATGCTCTGGGGTCTCTAACCAGGCTGGTAGGGAACAGCCGCTCTCTGGTGCTGCTCCTCCTTTTTATCCTTTGCCTACTTTTTATCAGCATGTAGGGTACATGTATGTTGTACAAATAGTGGCCATGCTCCCGAGCTCTAGGGGCACCCAACTGGGGTGCTGGCCTTGGGGTGCAGAGGGGAGCAGGGATGAGGTCGGAGGTGGGTTTGGGGCTGGCGGACTTGGTTTCAGGTATGGTGTGTTCTGGGCTTTGAGACAGCTGCGCATAGGTGCTGGACAGTTGTTGTGATGCTGACCCCTGTTTACAGATGGGACATAGATCTCTGTGGCTCAGCGACTTCGCAGCCCCTTGTTGGGCTTGTGTGGAGGCAGAATCACGGACAGACGGTTACTCTAGGCTAGGCTAAAGTGGCCCCTGGGAAGGCTCAGCTCAGGGGGCCACCATTGCAGTGGGTTGGCATCTACTTGTCCTTTCTTGAGGGTGGGCTCAGGAGCCACATCATTTGAGAAATGAAAAGAGGTTGGATGCCATGGTGTGGGTTACCAGGGAGATCAGTAGCCACCTCCATTCCCTGGGGTCGTGCCTGGAGGGAGGGCAGCTCGGTGACCTAAGATGTTGCTTTGTCTTTTTCAGGACAAACATCATGATGCTGCTCATGAGATCATCGAGACTATCCGGTGAGTTCTGGGGAGGTGCAGAGCACTGTTGTATCGGGTGGGGGTGTCCAGAGCGCGAGGGCCCTGCCCCTGGTGGTTACAGGCCTCAACAGGGGAGCTCTCAGGAGAGGCCTCAAGGAGGGCCCAGATGGCTCTGTGCTGTACTGCAGGCCCAACAGCCATGCTCTGTTCTTGTGGTCCACCACCCTTGACAGATAAAATGCCCGGGTTTTTTCTCTTTTTCCACCTGGGGATGGAGCCTGGGGTCTTGTGCATGCCAGGAGAGTGCTCTACCACTAGCTGCATCCCCAATCCTTTTAATTTTACCTTAGATAGAGTCTTGCTAAGTTGCCCAGGCTGGCCTTGAACTGGTGATCTTCCTGCCTCAGCCTTGTGGGTTGCTGGCATTATAGGCATGTGCCAGTGCGCCTGACCGTGCCCAGGTTATTTGTTTATTTTTTTGTACAAGGATTGAACCCAGGGATACTTAACCACTCAGCTGCATCCCCAGCTCTTTATTTTATTTTATTTTTATTTGATACGAGGTCTCACTAAGTTGCTTAGGGCCTCACTGAATTGCTGAGGCCGGCTTTGAACTTGTAATCCTCCGCCTTGGCCTCCCGAGTCACTGGTGTGTGCCACTGAGGGCTGCCCCTCACCCTAACACATCTGAGTGTTCAGAGAAGAGCCAGTGACAGTGGGGACAGGGAGAAAGGGGGCAGCTGCCTGTTCCCGAGAGCTGTGGTCAGGGATGGTGCCCTGGGAGGCCCTCTGGCCCACCCATGTGTGGAATTTGGGCCACTCCCCGTCAGGATGCTCCATTCAGGCCTGCAGCAAAGCTACACTTGTCTTGGGGCCCCTTTGCCCCCAGTAACGCTGTGCTCTCTGGCGGCTCCCTGAAGTGAGTGGACGTGGGCAGGGGGCCAAGCCCTAGCGGAGTGACTCACAGTGGTAACCTGGAGCATAAGGTACACACAGTTGATCAAAGTGAACACCTCCTGGGGGAGAGGGAGGGGTCCTGCAGCAGCTCTAGAGGGACAGAAGGGTCTGCTGGGGAGAACTGGGGCTGGAGTGAGCCCCACAGACAGGATCCACCTAGGTGTGGCACGTTCCTGACTTGACCTCTGAGAGGGTGGAGATGATTAGGGGTCTGTCTTACTGACAATAAGGGGATTTCAGAGGGGGCCCCTCCTGCTCGGAGGGAGGGACCTCGATGCTGAGCAGTGGCTGAGGTCTTTTTGGACATTGTTTACTGGGCCTCAGCCTTAACACGCAGCACTGGGCAGCCACCACCTGTGCCACACGGCTGTGACATCTCCATACTCGAGCTGAACGTGGCTGAACTTTGTGTGTATGGTAGTGATTTTCTGGTGTATCATTTTGTTGGGTCCCTGCAGTATCCACAGGGAGCAGGAACCCAGGAGTGGGGTGCTGGTGCCCGGGCTTTGTAGTGTGGGCAGAGGGCCCTGAAACCCATTCCTGTCCCCAGGCTCTGTCCTCCCTCTGCCTCATCAGTGCTAGAGCAAGGCCTCTGGGCCAGCTGTTGGGACCTTGCACTGAAGGGATCAGCCTGGGGTGGCCTCTTCCAGCACTGCCCTCCTCCATGCCCGTTTGGTGGTTCTGCTCTGCCCGTGTCCAATCTGGGGGCAGCGTATGTTCCCCAGGAAGGCCTGCTGGGCTTCTTACGCCTGGCTTTGAGTCTGCATCTGCTGCTAGGGAGAAGGACCAGCTGAACAGCCTCCGGGCTTCTGCTGCACAAGTGGAGTTTTTTTGCTTGTTTTGTGGTGCTGGGAATTGAACCCCCAGTCCTGCTTGTGTCTTTTTGTGGGGCTGGTGATGGAACCCAGAGCCTCACAAGTGCTAGGCAGGTGCTTCACTACTGAGCCACCCCAGCCCACTGCAGTGTATTTTTTTGGTCCTGGGGCTTGAACCCTGGGGTGCTTAACCACTGAGCCACATCCCCAGCTATTTTTATGTTTAATTTTGAGATGAGGCCCCGCTACGATACTTAGGACCTTGCTAAGTTGCTGAGGCTGGCCTTAAACTTGGGACCCTCCTGCCCCAGCCTCCCAAGACACTGGGATTGTAGGCGTGCTCCTCCACCTCCCAGCTTCTTTCCTCTTTTTTTTTTTTGGTGGTACCAGTGATTTAACCCAGGGGCAATTTGCCACTGAGCCATACATCCACAGTCCTTTTTATTTTTATTTTTTAAATTTTGAGACAAAGTCTCACCAAGTTGCTGAGGCTGATCTTGAACTTGTGATCCTCCTGTGTCAGCCTCCAGAGTCTCTGGGATTGCAGGCATGTGCCACTGTGTCTAGCTGTAATATATTTCTTTATTTCTATACGTTGTCTTTATCTTTTTTTCTGCAGTTTCATTGCTTTTGGTGTAGAAGTCTTCATATCTTTCATGAGATTACCCCCAAGTATATATGTTTTAAGGCTATTTTAAGTGGCATTTAGAAACAATTTTTTAGGGTTAGGTGGTATAATTTAGTGATAGAGCATGTGCTTAGCATGTGTAAGGCCCTAAGTTTCATACCTAGCACCACAAAACAAAAGCAAACACGAGTTTTTAAACTCTGTGTTGGAAGTGTATATAAATATATTGACTTTTAGCTGGGCCTGGTGGGGCAGCCTGTCACCCAGTTACTCAGGAGGCTGAGGCTGGAGGGTTGCAAGTTCAAGGTCAGCCTGGCAACTTGCTAAACCCTGTATAAAAAACAAAAACAAAAACCCCATGGGGTGGCTCTGTGGTAGAGCACCTCTGAGTTCAATCCCAGCACTGTAAAGATAAACAGATTCCCGTCTGCGTGTTGAGTACCTGTCGTGTGTCAGTGCGTGAGTGCGCGGTGCTCGCTCCACCAGGCTCTGATGGCCTGCCTCTCCGTGCTCCCTGGGTGCTCTGGTGGTGTGGTCCTAGGGCGAGTCGTGGCCTGCTGAAGTGCTCCCTCCAGCTTCTGCTTCCCTTTGTTCTTGGTCTGTAGGACAATGTGGACGAGAAGTGGCTGCAGAAGTCCTCACCTGATGACCGAGATGTGCCCAGTGGCCAAGGGCAGCTGCAGCCCTTCTGTGTCTTCTGTGTGTGTGTGTGTGTGTGTGTGTGTTTTGCTATTCTGGGGATGGGACCCGGGGCCTGCACATGGCATACAGGGTAGTCAGGCCTCTGCCACTGAGCGGACCCCAGCCCCAGTGTGAGCTGAGGATGCAGAGGGCCTGATGACACTAGAGGCACACTGAGGGGTCCCAGGAGAAATTGGGAGGGTTGCACTGCCCCGTGACCCCAGAGGCTTTGGTTTTTGAGTTTGGGGGTCACCCCTGCCTCAGGTGTGGGATGCAATGAGGCTTATTTCAAGTGCTGGAAACTGGACACACTGTTGAGAGGAGGACTGGTTCCTGCTGTGCTGCGGGGCAGCGAGGACCATTGTGTGCCCTGTGGTTTCCTCGTGGCCTTCCTGGGAACCCACAGGCAGAGCTGACCGTGACCGTACGCCCTTCACCAAGGGACGCCTCTTTCTGTCTCCAGCTGTGAGAGGTTGAGTGGCATGGTGTGCACCCTCTGCTTTGTGGAGATGGCCCTGCGCAGTCTTCATTCCTCCCTGGGATAGGCCCCATGGGTCTCCAGGGATTGGTGAGGCCTGCTCCCCAGACTGTTGCAGGACTTTTGTGTCTGTCCCTTAGGGTTGTTGGTCTGCACTTTTCCTTCTTGTAGCGCCTTTGTCTTTATAGTCCCTTGCCTCTTTCTGGTTTTGGTATCTGGGTAAGCCGACCTCCTGAAACTGAAAGGGTCTTTTTTTTTTTTTTAATTTTTTAATGTTTATTTTTCAGTTTTCGGCGGACACAACATCTTTGTTTGTATGTGGTGCTGAGGATCGAACCCGGGCCGCACGCATGCCAGGCGAGCGCGCGACCGCTTGAGCCACATCCCCAGCCCTGAAAGGGTCTTTGTAGGATGATGTTTTCTCTTCTCCCTCTTCCCCTCCCCAGTCCTGGGGTTTGAAGCCTGGGGTGCTCCTTTTAGTCTCGAGCAGGGTCTCGCTAAGTTGCCCAGGCTGGCCTTGAATTTAGGATCCTGCCTAGGAGCTGGGATGGCAGGCCTGCAGCTGGGTCCTCTCCCGATGTGCTGGGTGGCACTCGCCAGTGGAGCCCTCTGCGCCTGCAGCTGCTTTGCTGGAAGGCATTTGGTCTTGGTGGTGGCACCTTGGGGCGTCATGCCTCCTCCGATGGCTCTGCCTCTGTCTCACTCTCCGAGGTCTGCAGGGTGCTGCCTTGGCGGGGCTGCACAGGCCCAGGGAGTTTTGCTCTGTAGCGGGCCAACACCTAGGTCCTGTCTCTTCACACAGGCCCCCATCTCTCCCTCCCAGTGCTTGTTGAAAAAGCACCATTGTGGGCTAGGGATGTGGCTCAAGCGGTAGCGCGCTCGCCTGGCATGCGTGCGGCCCAGGTTTGATCCTCAGCACCACATACAAACAAAGATGTGTCCACCGAAAAAAACTAAAAAATAAATATTAAAATTAAAAAAAAAGAAAAAGCACCGTTGTTGTTGTTGGACTAGTTTTAATTTTTCAGATGATAACTTTTTAAAATTTTTTTTTAAAGAGAGAAAGAATTTTTTTTTTTAATATTTATTTTTTAGTTTTCGGCGGACACAACATCTTTGTATGTGGTGCTGAGGATCGAACCCGGGCTGCACTTATGCTAGGCGAGCGCGCTACTGCTTGAGCCACATCCCCAGCCCGAGATGATAGCTTTTTTAAAGTATCTAGTTGTAAGTTGCTTTTAGAGCTCCCTGATTTGAGCAGATTTCTCTCTAGATCCTATTATGGTAATTAAAAAAAAATCTTTTATATTCTTATCATAACATGTAAATTCGTTTCACTCTGAAGCCTTTATTGAATTAGTGATTCACATTAACTTCATCATAAACTTTGCATTTGTTATAAAGCAATGCCTTCTTTCTCTCTTTCACATTTTGAGTTGAATCATGGGAGATTTAAAAAAAAGTTTGTTGTAGATGGACACAATACCTTTATTTTTATGTGCTGCTGAGGATAGAACCCAGTGCCTCACACGTGCCATGCAAGCGTTCTACCAGTGAGCTACAGCCCCAACCCAGAGATTTTTGTCTTTATATGTGAGAGCGAGTAGTGTTCAAGAAGGAGGTAAGCTGGTTGCGGTGGCCTGTAATTCCAACAACCCTGGAGGCTGAGATAGGAGGATCGTAAGTTCCTGGCCAGCCTCCACAATTTAATGAGGCCCTAAGCAATTTAGTGAGACCTTGTCTCAAAGTTAAGCATAAAATGGCTGAGGATGTGGCTGAGTTGTAAAGCACCCTTGAGTTCAATCCCTGGTTTAAAAAAAAAAAAAAGCTGGGGGGAGTGTAAAAATGGAGTCTAAATAATGGTATTCTTTGTGGTCAACTGTTTGTGTTTCAGATGGGTCTGTGAAGAGATTCCAGATCTCAAGCTTGCCATGGAGAACTACGTTTTAATTGACTACGACACCAAAAGGTAGATGGAACCGGGTGTGGTGGCGCATGCCTTAATCCCAGTGCCTCCGGAGGTGGAGGCAGGAAGACCGAGAGTTTAAAGCCAGCGTCAGCAAATTATGGAGGCGCTAAGCACCCCAGTGAGACCCTGACTCTAAATAGAATACAAAATAGGTCTGGGGTGTGGCTCAGGGGTCGAGGGCCCCTGAGCTCAACCCTTGGTACCCCACCTAAAAAAAATAAGAAAAGGTAAATGGAGGTACCTGGCTGCTTCCTCCGTGAGGGGGATGTAGCTCATCATAGGGACACATCCTAGAGTGAGTGACCTCTTCTTAGATGGCATGTGCTGATTCGAAATTCCTCTGTGGAGCTGGCTGTGGCCTCCATAGTCACTTTGGCGGGTGTGTCCATCAGGCGTTGGCCAGGGCTGCCAGCAAGGACAGAATTGGAGACTCCATGTCGCAGACACTGGCGTGGTGTGTGTGGAGTCCCCCGAGTCTCAGTGACTCCTTCTATAGCAGGAGCTGCCTGCCAGAGTCAGTGTTTCCGCCAGCTGCTGCTGCCCTGGTCCGGGACAGCACTGGGCTGGGCCAGTCCTGTAGACCTCTTGGCTGGGTGTGCTCAAAGGGCGTGTCTCCTGCTGCTGCTGCTGGTGGTGGTGGTGGCACTTGTAGCAGTCCCCTCCCAGAACTTGGTTGGGGGGAGGGCAAGGCGTCTCTGCAATGCCTGCCTGGAACCCTGTGTTTTTGAGAGCAGGAGGGCCAGGCTGAGAGGGACAGAGCAGTCTCGCCTGCAGAGCTGCTTTGGGAGCTCAGAAGGCTCACTTGAGACAGGTTCAAGCCTAGAGTGACCACAAGCCTCTCATGATCAGCATCTGGTGCTCTTTGTCTGACGTCACCTTCACTGTTCACCATGGAAGGGACCCATGCAGCGGGCCAGCATGTTGGCCTCGGTGACCCTCCCCAGCCCCGTGCCTCACCCTGTTGTGGGAACAGGCAGGGAATGGAGCTGCCTTCACTCCTGCAGGGCAGGGGCCCTGAAGATCCGCTGGCTCGCAGGGTACATCCATGTCGACCTGGTGCTGCAGGCTCTGAGGTCAGCCACCTCATGTCCTCACGCGTGGGTGTTCCTGGGACGCCACCTCAGGCTCTGTCTTGGCCAGCGTGGCTCACAAGACTCAGGGAATCACCTATTATGTTTAAAAGTGGTTTGTTACAAAGGACATGAGAAAGGGTGCAGATGAGCAGCCAGATGGCAAGGTGCCAGGGGAGGTCCTGAACAGTCCCGCAGGAGGGTTCTGTCCCCTCGAGCTGGGTGCACCACCCCTCGCACCTGCATGTGCTCCCCTGTGTTCAGGGTTTTTGTGGAGGCTCCATCTTGTAGGTACGGTTAGTCGCACCTGCAGCCCCCCCTTCTCTCTGGTGGTTGGAGGTGGGCCTGAGACCACCAAGCTTCTAGCCATCGCTTGTACTTTCTGCTGCCAGCTGTTTCCGGAGCCCACCAGGAGTCGCCTCATCAGAACAAAAGGTGGCTGTCACTTGGTGTTCCTGGGCATGGGAACTCTGTCAGGAACCAGGGCATAGGCCAGAAGTGCTTGTTTGCCCCAGTACCACAGCCCTTCAGGTGGACAGCAGTAGATGGCGGTGCTGGCCCAGCCCTCCCCTTAATCACATGCTGGGCTCCCCTGCCCCGTCTCCAGGCCCTCACGTGCCTGGCAGCAGGTGTTTGGAGACACTTTGTTCACAGTGTGCTCCTACACAAGTGCTTGATGCTCTTGACTTCTGAGTTCAGTTTGCTCCTCTTTTTGACACTGGGACTGCGTCCGAGGTACTGTACCACTGTACTGTACATCCCCAGCCCTTGTTATTATTATTTTTTTTTTTTAAGAGAGAGAGAGAATTTCTTAATATTTATTTTTTAGTTTTCGGTGGACACATCTTTATTTTATTTTTATGTGGTGCTGAGGATCGAATCCAGCACCCTGCGCATGCCAGGCGAGCACGCTACCGCTTGAGCCACATCCCCAGCCCATCATTTTTTATTTTAGATAGGACCTCGCTAAGTTGCTGGCTTTGACAAAGCTCACTGTCCTCCTGCCTCGGCTACCTCAGCAGCTGGGATTACAGGTGGACCTCAGTGCACCCGGCTCAGTCTGCTTTGGAAGAGAGATCAGTGGCGGGAGACAGGAGCAGGGTCAGTCGCATGGCACCCACCTGAGGGAATGTGTGGCTCCTGAGCACATGGGGGAGGTCCCCATTCTCTTTGCACTCTGGAGAAGCTTGCCAGAGATGTGTTTTTTTTTTTTTTTTTTAATATTTATTTTTTAGTCATAGTTGGACACAACACCTTTATTTCACTTGTTTATTTTTGTATGTGGTGCTGAGGATGGAACCCAGGGTCTTGCGAGGAGAGCGTCTACCGCTGAGCCCAGCCCAGCCCCTTGCCAGAGGTTTTGAGTGGCTTCCAGTTGTTGAGGTTGAATGTGAGATGTAAAAATTGGAATCCAAGAACATAGAGATGGAAAATGGTGGCCTTTCTTGTTCACTCTGAGGTCTACATGAGGAAATGGCCCAGGGGTGTTGGTCCTGTCCTTCCACCAGGGGCCCAGGAGGGGGCTGGCCAAGGTGAGGTGTTACCCACAGAGGCGTGCGGGCTTCACTGCGCCCCCCCCAGGAGGACGGTGCCCTGTGTGGGCCACCAGCTCTTGTCTGGCTGGTGGCCAGCTGCAGACCTTGGCGCGAGCTCTGGCCTGTGTGGGCCCCAGTTGCTCCAGCACTGAGGGAACAGGTCTTGGCTCTTGGTGGCCCGGCCCTTGTGAAGCAGCAGCAGTCGGAGTTTTCAGAGGCATTGTCCTCTTGTCCTTGGCTCTTGTGGCCTCTTCGGGCTCTGAGGGGGTCGTGTCATTGGTGTTCTTGAGTTGTCTTGTTCTTTTTGTTTGTTGTGGAGGTGGGGTCACCCTGTGCTGCCCATGCTGGCCTTGAACTTCTGGACTCAAGGTGGTCCTCTCCTGCTGAGAGGGGGGACTGCAGTGCGTGCCCCAGGTGGAGCTTTGTCTTGTTCGCTGCCCTGCTGTCCTGTGCAGTGCTGCCTGGGTGCAGCTTCTCCTGCTGGACCGAGGCAGAGCAAGACGCACCAGATGTGCAGCCAGCGTCAGGCTCCTCCTCCAGGCAGGGGTGGGGGACGGGCTGGTGGGTGTTGGACATCTGTCCTGTCTCTGTGACAAGGGTCTGATTAGCCTGCTTCCCCAGTCACCCCCAGAGGAAACCAGTCCTGGGGTGGTCTAAGAGAGCCTGCAAGCCACCTCCCTTCCCAGGTGCAGGACTCCCCCTTGGCGTCTGATCATTGGGTCAGCTCATTCTCTAGAGGGGGCTGTGGTGGGCGCTGGGGGTGAGGCACCTTCCCTGGTCCTGCAACCCTGCTGGGCATGCAGTGGATAGCAGCTCCTCAAACAAATCGCCAGATTCTCTGGGAGAGCCAGTCGTAGCTGAGCTGGTGTTCTAGCCCAGGAGGCCGATGGAAGCTTGTGGGTGTGCTCATGTGGACTGGGGATGTAGCTCAGCTGTAGAGTGCTAGCCTAGCACGCGTGAGGCCCTAGTTTGATCCCTAGCACTTCAAACGAAACAGAAATCCATCCAGACACACCCATGTGCATATGGGTGGTCAGGGGCTGGAGACCAGCACCTGGAGCAAAGTCGCAGTGTTTGCTCTGTGTTAGGTTCTAACCTGCTCTTCACATCTTGGAATGTGTCAGAAGTTTCAGAAGCTGGTCCTAGACGGAAGCAATGTTGGTGTGAAGAGGGGTGCTGCCCTTATGCAGAGGAGGGCTTTCCTTGGCAGCTGCCCCCATACTATGCCTGGTGGCTTCCAGAGCGCTGGGGAGGAGACCTGCAGGAACGACGGGGGCTTTCTCCAGCCAGGAAAAGGAAGACCCTCCAAGGCCCCCACAGGGCCCGGGCCTGCTTTCCGCCAGCGTCAGCTGGCTGTGGAGTGTGAGCCCCTGGTTGTGTCTTGTCTGTGGCCTTCCCTTAAGAGCTGCTGCCTGATGTCCTGTCCTGAACGATGCCTGCTAGCCCACCTGACCTTGGCTTTGATGTGTGGGCCCAGCCTGGCCATGTTGTCCTTTGCACATTTTCTCCGCGGGACCCTGGCCAGGGTTGTGCCTGTGCATCTGTGTTGGGCCGAGCCCCTCACTGGGTGGGAAACTGAGGCTCCCTGCGAGGGGTCTGGCTCTCCTGAACTGTGCCCGTCTGAGGTTCAGGGTCATGTTCCAAGCTCCAGTGACAGCCTTTCCCTTACCTTTTTCAGCTTTGAAAGCATGCAGAGGCTGTGTGACAAGTACAACCGTGCCATCGACAGCATCCACCAGCTGGTAGGTCGCCTCAGTGCCCACAGGCTGTCCCTTCCCTGGGCGGGTGTTCCCTGTGAAGCCCTGGGGCGCTGCTGCTGAAACCCTCGGGGCAGGGGCGGCTCTGCTTTCTGAAGTGCACCCTCACGCACCTTGCCCCTGTGCTCTGCTACCTGTGGGCCACGGCAGAGACCTGGGCACTCAATGGCCTTCCTGGCTATGAGCTCTGCCTCCCCTGCTGTCCAGCAGGTGACACGTGTTCTCCGTGCAGGCCCGACTGTGGCATGGTTTGTCTGACCTCACCGCCCCCAACACAGCTGAAATGCTGGGACCCTGTAGCAGGGGCTTGCTGCTTCCTGGGTCCAGGACCATCTGCTTTCTGGAGAGAGCAGGTTCTCTGGTGTGGGGCCTCTTGAGAGATGCTCAGCTCTCATGAGGGACATGCAGTGACAGCCGGTTCCTCCTGGAAGGTGTTTCCACTGGGGAGGCAAAAGTGTGGAGTGGCGTGGCCTCGCGTCCCTCCCAAGCTAGGCTGCGATGCCCGTGTAGCTGGCTGGCCATGTAGCGTGTGCCACCCCGGGGCTCTCTCAGTGGGTAGCTGGCTTGCCGTTGCTAACCATGGGGAGGGTATTTGCATCAGCTGAGTGTGTAAGGGACCCTTGTGTGGGTCAGTGGTGGGCATGGGGCCTTCTTGTAGCTCTGAGGCTGGGCTGGGTCCTGGAGATGGGGCCATGAAGAGTCATGAGCCGAGCTGCACATGCACCCTCTTGTGAGGAGGCGGGTGCTGGGCCTTCAGTGACACCGGAGGGTTGGGCGTCATACCAGGGACTCTGGGTGAGCCATTGAGGGCCCGTGCATGAGCGGTACCACAGCGGCCAGCTTTTGGTTCTTGAAGCAGCTCGTGGCCCTTGTATGGCTGCAGAGCCCGAGTTGATGAGGCCAGACCACTGTCTTGCAAGGAACCATGTCCATGTCGGGGCCCAGGGCACAGGTGCTCTTGCACGAGATGGCACACTGGTGAGCAGTGAGGTGCCAGAGGCTGCTGGGACCCAGGCTGCACACTAGCAGGCACGAGCCCCGGATGAGCTTAGGGTCAGAGAGTGCTCTTTGGAATGAGGGCTGCAGCAGCCCATCTAGTCGAGCAGGAGGAGTGACAGAGAACGTGATCCATGCCCTCTTTCCCAGCTGCAGAAAAGAAAGTCAGATGTACACTCCCAAGTATGCGGACACACTTTTGTACACACACACACACACACACACACACACACACTCACACTCTCCCTGCTTGCTACTGCTGCTGTTTCTCTTTTTGTGGTCCTGGGGATGGAACCCAGGGCCCCACGCATGCTAGGAAAATGCTCTACTGCTGAGCCACATCCCCAGCTCTCTGTCTTGGGGTGGCCCCTGTGGTCTGCCTGTGGCATTACATGTCTGATGCTACCTCGTGTTCCTAGTGGAAGGGCACCACCCAGCCCATGAAGCTGAACACACGACCGTCCAATGGGCTCCTGCGACACATCCTGCAGCAGGTCTACAACCACTCAGTGACCGACCCTGAGAAGCTCAACAACTATGAGCCCTTCTCCCCTGAGGTGTACGGGGAGACCTCCTTTGACCTGGTGGCCCAGATGATTGATGAGATCAAGATGACTGAGGACGATCTCTTTGTGGACTTGGGCAGTGGTGAGTTTTGGGTTGCATGACCTGAGAGGAGTTGTTTATGTCTATGCCTTTGTGCATGTCCCTGCAGAAGAGTTTAACAGGGAGTAGGTGCTGGCTGAGTGTCCACAGCCCAGGGGAGAAGCTCCCAGGAATCACACCCGGTGCTTCCTGTCCAGGGTCTTCCATTGTGGCCTAGAGCTCAGTCCCTGACCCTTGGCCTATGCTGGCTTTCTCCCCTGTCTGCCTGCACTTAACATGGCCTGTGGGACTGCTCCTTGGCCAGAGGCAAGGGGAACTCAGCCGTCAGAGTTGTGGCTCTCTGGTCAGGGCTGTGAGGGCCTCACTCCCACCAGGTTCAGGTAGAAGCTCAGATGCCCGGCCCTAGGAAGGCTTTGCTTCCTGCTGTGTCCTCATAGGGCAGGGGGTGGAATGCAGGAAGGGGCCTGGCTTACCCCTTCCATCCAAGAGGGTGGAGTCCCCTTCCAAAGTCCCACCTCTTACACCTTACCATTTGGGATTATGTTTGCACATGAATTTTGGAGGGGATGCCATCTTTCAAACCTCAGCGTCTGCTGGAGGGTCTGTGCTTTGTGTCTGTCCTCTAGTACTGGGTATCGAACATCAGGGTGCTTGACCACTGGCCCACATCCCCACTTTTTGTTTGTTTGTTTGTTTGTTTGTTTGTCTTGGTACCAGGGATTGAACTCAGGGGTGCTTAATCACTGAGCCACATCCTCAGCCCTTTTGATTTTTTATTTTCAAACAGGGTCTTGGTTAAGTTGCTTAGGGCCTCGTTAAGTTGCTGAGGGTGACTTTGAACTTTGGATCCTCCTGCCTCAACCTTCCGAGCTCTGGTGTGACCGCCCCCTCAGTAGGGTCCACCTGGTGGAGTCCCAGGTGGCCATGCCTCTCACACAGGCTGCCTTGGCCTCTGACACAGGCATGTGCCATCATGCCCGGCTTTTCTTGTTTTGTTTGCTTTTTGTTTTATTTGGAGATGGGGTTCCACTGAGTTGCCCAGGCTGCCTTTAAACTTGCATCCTCCTGCCTCAGCCTCCTGGGATAACCAGTGTGGCCAGTAGCCTGGCTCTGTTAGATTGAGTCCTGCACTCGCAGGCCTGGCTCCGGCCACCTCTGCTGGCGTGGCTCTCAGTTGCATGCTCATTATTATTTGAGCGTGTCGTGTGCGGCCTGGAAAGGCAAGCTGGAGTCCAGCACTGACCCCATGTGAGGAAAGATGGTTCTGAAGGCCCTGCTGCATCAATGCCTTGACACTCAGGACCCCTGGATGTCTGCAGTGACAGTGTTCGCTTCTGCACAGGCCACTGGGTGTGCTGGCCCTGCAGAGACTCCTTGAAGTGACAGAGATTGGAGACATCATCTCCATCTTTGGGTGGGGGGGGTCCACAGACATCCCTTAGTCAGGTCACGCTGGACTTCCTGGAGGGCATTTCAGGCCTGCCAGGCTATCCACTGTTGGTGACTTTGGGTAACGGCAGAGGAGCATCTTTCTAGGTAGTGCTGTGCCTTCTCTAGCTGTGCTGTGTCTGAGCAGTGACCCAGGCAGCGTCCTCAGAGAGGATTCTGCCTTTGGGGGCCACAGAGGACTGCCCTGGGTGAGTGGATGGAGCAGAGACGTCTGGTGGGAGCTCATTTGAGGTGTTCCAAGTGACTTCAGAGTTCACAGTGGTTTTGAGGTGTTCTGTGGCCTCGACTCTTTTTTTTTTTTTTAATATTTATTTTTTAGTTCTCGGCGGACACAACATCTTTATTTTTTTATGGTGTTGAGGATCGAACCCAGCGTCCCGTGCATTCCAGGCGAGTGCGCTACCACTTGAGCCACATCCCCAGCCCATGGCCTCGACTCTTGATGTCAGTGGACATGATCATGTAGCTTGTGTCCTCGACTCTGGTGTGACCGCCCCCTCAGTAGGGTCCACCTGGTGGAGTCCCAGGTGGCCATGCCTCTCCCTCAGGCTGCCTTGGCCTCTGACACATCTTTCTCTGCTTGAAGGTGTGGGGCAGGTTGTCCTTCAGGTTGCTGCAGCCACCAATTGCAAGCATCACTATGGAGTGGAGAAAGCAGACATCCCAGCTAAGTACGCGGAGGTGAGTGGGGCATGCGGAGGTGAGTGGGGCCCGCGGAGGTGAGTGGGGTCCGCGGAGGCAGGGAACCCCAATGAGGGCAGACCTGCTGTGCCCTGTACCCTGCTGCTCCAGGGCTTCCCCACCTGGGCATCAGTCTTCGCAGGCCTGGGAAGTTTAATTGATTCGGGTGTTCCTGTGTTTACAACCCCAGCCCCTCCCTGCAGATTGCCCCGTCCCTTAGGGAGAAGTTTTGGCAGGTCCCCTTGTGCCCTTGGTTCCATTCTCCTGGGATTGCACACCATGGGCATCTGGGAGGAGGTGACTGGTCTCCTCCTGGTAGAAGAATCATGCTTAGCTCCTCACATCTGCATACCCGACTCTCACTGCCCACTCCCCTCCTTGGCCATTCCCCCTCTTAGCAGTGGAGGATTGGGCCTTTGCTAGAGCCAGCCCCTCGTAGCCTCTGCCCAGGGTGGAGAGTCAGTTGGGCTTGGCGAGTGGGTGTACCTGAGCCATCACTCTGGCCTGCAGAAATGTGTGTAGCACCCTGGGGTGCTTCTCAGCAAGACTGCAGGTGGAAACTGACGTCCCAGACAGTGTGCTCCTGCCAGAGCAGGAGAGGCCATGGGGTCTGCAGGCATCTGGGGGGGTGGGGGGTATCGGGGTGGGGCCCTCCTGTGCCTTCCTGGCCTCCCTGGGTTTCTAAAGGGCTGTCTGATGTGTGTTCCTTCCAGACCATGGACCGAGAGTTCAGGAAGTGGATGAAATGGTATGGAAAAAAGCATGCAGAATACACAGTGAGTGCCATCGCTCCATGCCCGCGGCTACGACACCTGCCCCCTGCAGCTCTCCCATTCCGTCCACTATAGGGCCCCCGCCACTCCCGCATAGTAACATGGGAACTTTGCCCTTACTGCCTCTCTGGCCTGGGCCTCCATCCTTTAGGCAGTGTGTGGTCACCGTGAGCCCTAGCAGGAGGAGGACTTGCAGTTGGTGGGCCTCCTGGAAGTCCCTCTTCCCTCTTGTCCTTGAGGCCTGAGGGCTGCCTTGGGGCAGGCCCAGCTCTGCTGCCCTGGCTGTGTTAGCAAAAGGCGCCTGGGTGGGTGCAGTTCCTCTCCACCCCCGCTGCACAGGTTGGTTGCTGTTGCAGGGTCCTTGTGGACGTGTCACAGCCCATGTGCATGTGAGTGTGTGGACCCCTCTGGCCAGTGGCCAGCTGATGGGACACTCATTTTTAATCTTAAACTGTTGCTTTTTAAGTCTTTTCTTTCAGTGCTGGGGATGACCCCAGGGCTCACGTCTGTTAGAGGCAAGTGCTCTGCCCCGAGCCGCACCACGCTTATGGCCTGCTACTGGCAATGGTCAGGAAAGTCCAGCTGGCCTTGGCTTCTCTTTGCTGAGGTTTTGCCCCTGTGCTGACAGCAGTGACATCTGCAGTCCTTTCCTCCAGTGGCTGTGGGGTTTTGGCATTGAGTAGCTACACCAGCTTCTAGTACTGAGTTAGGAAATCCTTCCTCTGCTTCTGTCCTGTTCTTCCCAGACCAGGACTTCAACCCTGGGCAGGGGATACAGCTTGCCTTCTTTTCTTGGTGACAACCTTTTCTACATCCCGACCCGCCCCCTCACTGAGAGATGAGGGTGGAACCTGTGCTCCTCTTGCCTTTGCACGTCCGAGGGCCTCTGGGTTTCCCCGGGATGGGGAGGCAGCAAGCCGCTCAGCTTCCATTTCCAGGACACATGTTCCCATCCAGGGCCTCTGTCTCCTGGAAAGTTCCCAGCTGAAGTCCCAGCTAGGTCACCAGGTTCTCAAGATCCCCGACTAAGAGGTGCACAGGGTTGGACTCACAGTGTGCTCCACATTTCTGCTGAGAGTTCAAGCACATGCTTGAAAGTTCTCATCGCCGTGTTTCCCAGAAGGAGCCCCAGTCAGTCTCCTGGTGGCCTCCTGTGTTTTCACTACCAGAAGAAGAGAGGGAGGGACAAGGGGTCAGGTTCTGGTCGTGCCCTTTCCTTCTCTTCTTGTCATCACTGAGGCCTGCCAGGCCTTGGGTCAGCTTGTGTGTGAAGTCATGGTGTCGCACCTGGCCCATTTCCACTGTCTGCATCTCCTGGGGGCTCATGGGGCTCACTGTCCGTGCTGGTGGCTGCTGACTTATGGCTAGGAACAGAATTCTGGGGGAAAGAACTCCCTCCCTCCTGGTCTGGGTGATACCATAAACACCAGAGCAGAGACAGCAGGCCTCTTGCCAGCCTCGGCCCCCAGCTCCACGTGCCCTCATGTGGGCAGCATCCTGTTTTGCAGGCAGACCTTCTCAGGGAGGTGTAGCTAGAGGATGCACCTGGCTGTTTGAATGCCAGTTTTGGCGGGAACTTGTGTCCTGATTTTTGAAAAAGCCTCTGAGTAGCTCTTTGTGGCTCTGACACAGCGCCCTGGTTGGCAAGCCTGAGTCCCATCTTCCGTTACTCAACAAGGGAAGAGGAATAAAGCCAGGAGGAGCCTAACAATAGCGCAGTGCGCTTTCCCAGACTCAGAACCACCTCATGGGCTCGGCACCCTCCCCCAGCTCCTTGTAGAGGCTGGGCTCACGGACTGCCCTGCGGCTCTGCGCCTGCTGCTCTCTTCCCTCCTGCGGCTGCAGGAGTCCTGCTCCCTGGAGGCTGCCGCTGCTCTTGCCTGCCTCAGCTTCTACCCATGAGCCCCATCTATCCTCCAGAGCCCTGGAGCCAGCTTTGGGGCAGAGACACCAGGCCAGTCTCCCTTGTGTCGTTGGCGCTTTGTGGTGGCCTGGTGCTCAGCAGATGTCATGTGTGCAGAAGGCAGACCCACCGGCACCCTCTGTGGCTGTGGCCTCGGGATCCCTGCGTAGCTCCGCCTCTGCCCTGTGTGGTGGCTGTCCTTCTGGGGGATGCGCTGGGGCTGGGACAGCTGTCCCCAAGGTGGGCTAGCTGCCGCAATGCAGCCCGTGGAGGCCCCGCAGCAGCAGCCCCACCCTCAGCTCTCTGCAGGCACTGGCATCTCTTCCCTTGTTTGCTCTGGGCCCAGGCCACCCTGGCCTCCCTGTGTGCCGGATGCTATCAAGAGGTGGGCTGTGGTATGTCCATGTTGGCTGGTTGGCTGTTCTGCATGTAGGCAGAGTAGCTAATCCCCAGGGTCAACTCATGGACATGCTCTTTTTTTTTTTTTTTGCTTTAGTTGTAGATGGACACAATATCTTTATTTTACTTGTGTATTTTTATGTGGTGCTGGGGATTGAACTCAGTGCCTCATGCATGCTAGGCAAGCACTGTGCCCACTGAGCCACAACCTGGGCCCCCGGACATGCTCTTTTGACAGGGGCCCTCACCCACCAAGATGGTGGTTCCAGCCCTCCCTGGGTTTGCGCGTGGCCTGCCTGAATCTCCTGTATGCGGAGACTTCACAGGGCTGGGTCTGTCCTACAGATGAGGTACCGGCCCCGCTGCCAATTAGACGGTGGTCTCCATGCTCAGGGTGGGGTGCAGTGGCCACAGGCTGCGTGAGGCACAGCCATGCAGTGAGAACACTCCTCCGTGCTGGTTCCACACCCGCCACCTAGTTTTCCCTTTGGCCTTTGCTGCATCAGCAGGACTCTGAGACACCCAGCCAGCTTTAGTTCCCACCTTGGGGCCTGGAGACTGGGAAACCGTCCATCTGCTCTTCATCAAGAGTGCTTGGCCCCAGCAGCACCCAGGCAAGGAAGGCCCAGAGCGGGGCTGGGTGCAGGAGCAAGCCTGTCCCCAGGAGCACAGCCCTGTGGGAGGGTAGGAGTGAAGTCGGGTGGTGCTCATGGGTGCTGGGCAGTGGCTTGGCGGTGGTCTGCCATGGACGGCGAGCTGTGAAGGAGAAAGTCCACCCCAGAGGGCTGAAGGTGTTGTATTGGAATCCAAGGCCCCCCAGATTGGGTGATCCTCTGGGAGGACCCTAGGACGCGGCACGTGACTGTCCTTACTGCTGTGGCTTTCACATTGACAGGAACGAACAAGGGCAGTGTGGGCAGAGGCCCGGGGGAGCTGGGGAGTTCAGGCAGGGCTTCCGGAATCCTCTCAGTGAGTCATGTAGGACACGTGTCACTCCCAGCAGCAAGCCGATGTGTGGAATATTGTCATCTAGCGCACAGACCTATTCCCTAGGGTTTTGGGGGTAAGGTCACTTGGTGCTTCTACCTGTGACATGCTGACTTCAAAGAGAGGCAGGCATGAATTATGTGCCCAGGCCTGATGTGTCTGGGGGGCCAGGGCTGGGTATGGAGCTGGGAAGACAGAGACGTTAGGGTTGGCTGGAGCCAGTGCAGTGTCCTGCCCCTGGAGAGGCTCAGGGTGGCCCTCCTGCTCCCGTCTCCCACGGTCACGTCTCCTCCTGTCTCTGTGCTCATGTGCAGCTGCTCTGGCTTGGGTGTGACCTTGTCACATCAGATAGCAGTGTCTTGCTGTCCTGAGAAATGCTCTGGATGGGACATGGGGCTGTGGGCGCTGTGTGAGCAACATTGTCCTAAGTCACCTCACAGATGTGGGGAGTCTGATGGGCGCTTCTGCTGTGACTCATTAGCTGTCCCCACCCCTTCCCTAGCTCGAGGACCCAGGAATGCCATGTCCTGTCTCCAGACCCTCCTGTCCTAGATGTTCCCTGTCACTGGAGTCACATACCGTGTGGTCTTTGTGTCTGGTTCCCACTGAGCACGAGGTCCTCAAGGGCCATCCCCCTGCAGGTGTGCATGGACGCCCACTTGGAGTGTGGCACATGTTCCTGCCTCTGGGGCTCCCGCCTCGCAGGGAAATGGCTGCTGTTGGAGAGCACAGCGCCTCGCGTCTTGGCTTTCCAGATGTGATGGCCCTGGGCAATTGGTCATAAGACCTGGCCTTAGGAAGCCAGAAAGGAGCATTAGCCTCCCAACAAGAACCGCTGTGCAGCTTGGGTTGTGGGGACACTGGTGCCGGGTCAGATGTGTAGTGAGCGGACAGAGGTCCCTCAGCGGGGCCGGCTTCCCCTGCTGTGTGTGCGTGTCGTGGGCACTATGGGGACAAGAAGGGCGCCCTGGGCTTCCCAGCCCTGCGGAGCTGCCTCAGGGAGGCCCTAGTGGGACTGACACAGAGCCTGCCCAGGGCTGCCCCTGGAGGGCCCAGCCACAGCGCAGGCCCCTCCTGGGTCCACAGGCCCTGTGGGTGGGCTCCAGCAAGAGCATGGACACAGCATCACGGCTGTCAAGTACATTCCTTGGTGTGGCTGTCACCACTTCCCACCCAAGCTGGTCTGCCCCACTCCAGGCCCTGAGTGGTCGCGGGCTCTGCCCTGCTCCGGCATCCTGGCTGGGCTCAGCTCACCTTGCTCCGGCCCGCTGTAGCACAGGTGGCGGCTGGCAGGCCTCGGCCTCTCTTGTGTTCTCCCCCCGGCGGCTACTCCTCTCAGGTGTTCCTCACAGCAGCCGGGCAGGGGCAGGACTGTGGGACTGCACGAGACCCATGCGGGGAGTAAACGGTCTCTTTTCTTTCTCAGCTGGAACGAGGCGATTTCCTCTCAGAAGAGTGGAGAGAGCGGATCGCCAACACAAGGTACGGCTAGTGCGGGCACGTGGTACCCACGGGCATGGGGCATCCCATCGCTCTTGAGGACCCGGGCGGGCAGCCCCTTTCTTATGCTGGCCATCTGGGTCTGGGTCACTGTCCACCTCGTCGTGTCTGAGGAGTGACAGAGCAGCCACTCGTAGAATGAGTGTGGAGTGTGCTTCTCTGTGGCCCCAGCCCAGCTGCCATCTCTATCTCAGCCTGTCAGGGCTTGACTCTGGCTCCTGGACTGTCCATGCTCAGTGCCTGCAGGGACAGTGGGCATGAGACCCAGCCCTGTCTAGGTCTCTAGGTGCCTTCATCGTGGGCATATGCCATCCAGCTTTGCATTCTGTGTGCTGGTGACAGAGTGTCCACTTTTTGTGTCCATCTTTTGCATTCATCCCTGCCAGGCCTTCATGGCTCTCCACCTTGATCACAGCCCTCCTGCTTCCCCCTGTCCAGTCCTCAGGGATGTCTGACCTGGTGTGATTGCTAGTGGACGTTTCCAGACACTCTGGTTTTAAGACTGCCAGGGTTCAGGGGGGCCCCTGGCCAGGAACACGAGAGCGCCTTGTTCCGGCCCTGTGCTGCTGCTCTGCTCTGCTCTGGTGGCGCCCCGGGGGGCAGGTGGGGTGTGGGCAGCGCCTGGTAGTGGCTGGAGGCAGGCCGTTGCCACGCTGGGACTCTGCGCCTGGAGTGGAGCTGTGGCTGACTCAACTGGAACATTGTTTTGCAGTGTTATATTTGTGAATAACTTTGCCTTTGGTCCTGAGGTGGATCACCAGCTGAAGGAGCGGTTTGCAAACATGAAGGAAGGTAATGCACCCCTCCACCAGGCCCTCGCAGTCCAGGGCTCCGCACAGACAGCCCCTGCTGAGGGCTGAGGTCGCGGTGTGCGCAAATCTTGGCCTGGGTTTTCTCTTTGGAACAAGTGAATCCACTGCTGTGGGCTTGAATCCTTGGGCCCAAGGTGCGTCTGCCTAGGGCCCTGCCTCAGATGCCACTGCCCTCCAGTGCGGCAGGCAGGCAGATTGGGAGTCTCCCTTGACAAACCTTGACGTGTCCCCGGCCCACAGTGGCAGGCTGCATCAGAAGCCATGGACTCTGCATGGCAGGGCCACGGTGGCTCTTGCTAGTGTAGCTAAGGGCAGAGCTGCCTGCTGCCGCTCTTTTACTTTTGGTGGTGCTGGGGACTGAACCCAGGCCTGTGCATGCAGGGCATGCGCCTAGAGCTGACCTGTGTCCCTAGCTCCCGACAGAGCTGCTGCTTGTCCTCCTGCCTGCATCTTCCTGGGGCTCTCACGGGGCCAAGCCCAGGAGGTATGGGCAGCGCTGCCCCTTGCCTGCTGCTCGCCAGGCTGCCGCTGCTCCCCCTCCTCTGCCGGCTGCTGTTCTGTCTGCTGCTGCTCTGAGTTCCCACGTGTCCTGGGCGCCGGGAGCCTGCTTCCTGTCGCTTGTTCTCGGGAGGCCCCAGGCCAGGAGAGACTGTGGGGAGGCTCTCCTCCGTGGTTGTCGTCCCGCTGTCAGGCAGACTGAGTGGACAGGCTAGGCCAGCATCAACCAGACGGCCCCAGTTGTGGGAAGCACTGGGCCTGGGCCTGTGAGTGCAGCCCTGTGTGGAACACTGTCCACAGTTACTGTAGAGCCAGGGCTGGCCAGTGCCACGCTGCATCCCTGAGCGGCCCGCAAGTCCCTCCTGAGCACTGGGGTCACCAGTGTCAAGTGCTGCCTGCACCCTCAGAAGAAAGAGACTCCTTTTGGACTCCACAGCTGCCTTTCTGTCTGCACTCACCTATGGGCACTGCCTGGTGGCTGCTGGGGTCACTTGCTCTCTGACATTCTCACCTGTGTTCTTTTCTGTGGCCCTAGGGGTGGCACCTGGGGCTTTGGCATGCAAGACGGGGCTCCCCCATACTCTGGCCACACTCAGGCCCACCCCCCTCCTAACCTGGCCTGTGTCGGTGTTGAACTGTAGTCTAGTGGGGCATCCCACGTCCTGCACTTGCCCTTCCATTTGTTGACCTGTCCCTCGCAGCCAGCTGTGCTGCGTGACAGCCCTTCGTGGTAACAGGTGCCCTCAGAAGGCGCTCACTTGCCTCGGTGGATCCCTTTGGGTCTGGGATCACGCAGGATGTTTACGAGGGGTGGTCACTGGCGATGCTTGCTGCCCGCGTGCTTGTGGGGTGTGTGGGGCACGGCTTCCTGCTTCTGTTCATGGCCTGGGTGCGCAGTGGGGAGCAGGCTGTCGTAGTGGTGTTCTCTGCAGCTCAGATGATTCAGCCTCGCTGGCTCCATGGCCTTCTGACAGGACCCTGCTCATCAGGGTCTGACTCCTTCCGGGCACAGCAGGACCTGGCCAGGCCTGTGGCAGCCCAGCCCAGCCCAGCCCAGCCCTCCGGCTGGGGGTCGGGACTTGAAAAGCAAAGGCAGGGTGGGTTGTAGGGCTGGATGCTGGTGTCCTGCGAGTGTGTGCGCACAGATGTGCTTAACTGGATGATGTTTGAATTTTCTAATTTAAGTTTCACGCTCTCATCTTTGATTTTAATTGACTTTTGTTATAATAAAAGGTTTGGGCTGGGTGTGGTGGCTGGACCTGCCATCCCAGGGAGTCTGGAGGCCAAGGCAGGAGGATTGCAAGTTCAAGGCCAGTCTCAGCAACTTAAAGAGAACCTGTCTGGGGATGAAATGTCTTTAAAAATAATAAATAAATGAATAAAGGCCAGGGTTGTGGCTCAGTGTTAGAGTGCTTGCCTATCATGCGTGAGGCATGGGGTTTGGTCCCCGGCACCACATAAAAATAAAAATAAAGGCATTGTGTTCACCTACAACTAAAAAAATAGAGAAAAAAAAAAGGGGGGGCTTAGTGCAGCTCAGGGGGCTGGCTTCGCCCCACGGCTGCGCACACGCACACAGCTTGGCTCCCAGGGCAGCGGCATGTCTTTTCCATTTTATGTGAAAAGTTGTTTCATAATGGCGACGAGTATTGATGTTTACATCAGCAATGAATTTAGTGAAATCGAGGGTTCCCTGTGGCTCTTGTGGCCCTTGGACTTTGTCGTCTCTCTGGGCACAGTCAGACCGCTGTCTGTGTGGCTGTTGCTTTCATCTCCCCAGGCTTCACTTCGAGTGTGTGGCCACGCATCCCAGCCCTGCCCAGGGCCTCCCCATCCCCGGGGCCCGTGCTGGCCCTTCGCACACACTTGTGTCCCCTTTCCTCAGTTGGCCGCGCCCCAGGAGAGGTCCGCCAGGCACTGCTGTTCCCAGCCTGGCTTCCTCCTCCATGGGTGGCAGTCCCAGGTCCCCAGGCACTCTGTGTGCTTGGTTATCAGAACCCGTGTGGACCCTGCAGTCGGTGGTGGGCGTGCCGTCTGGTGCGCCTCCACCTCGGGCAGCAGGTTCAGGGACTCACCGGGGCTGCGTAAGGAAGGGTAGCCCAGTGTGTTTGAAGGAGGGCTCTGGGACAGGTTCACCTGGCAGCCGAGGGCTCGGTTTCCTTCCTCTGAGTGGGTGGGCGGGACTCGAGTCCCGGTGCTTGTCTCCTTGGTGGCCTGCTCTGAGCTGCAGTTTGGGTCACGTGTATGCATCTGTTTTCCCACGAGTGGTACCAGTCTCCTTTGTGTTTCAGGTGGCAGAATCGTGTCCTCGAAACCCTTCGCACCTCTGAACTTCAGAATCAACAGTAGAAACTTGAGTGGTAAGCAGCCCTCACGTTGCTGGGAGACTGAGCAGGGCAGAGTCACACAGACATGCGTCAGCCACAGTCTCCCTGGCACTGCAGGCTGCCAAGCAGTGTCCTGATTTCCCTCTGCCTCATGACTCCCCAAGTCCTGATGGCCACGCTTCGTCTGCTGTGGTCCAGTGTCCCCTGGGAGCAGAGTCACCCAGATGAGACCCGTGGCTCTGAGGAGGTGCTGAAGGATCAGGGCCCTGAGGACAAGGAAAGGCTTTGGCATGGAGGCCTAGGTCGCCTCCACCAGCTGCCCATGCAGGGGAACCTGTGGGCCCCTCCCTTGTCCTCTGGGCACAGCTCTCCTCTCTCAGGGTTGCATGTTCAGAGGTGCCGGCTGTTCTCACAGCTGTGATGTGAGCTGTTTCCAGATCCTTCTGCAGGCTCCTTGTGACCCATTCGGTCGAGCCCCTTGCCTTTATCCTTATAAGCTCCCCTAGGCCACAGAGCTCTGGCTCAGGTGCTGCTCCTCCGCCTGCTCTGGCAGCCAGGCCAGGCCTGGGGACTGCTGGCCAGCCTGGGCTTGGGGGACCCAGGCGTGGCCCTGCACAGGGTGGAGGCGGTCAGCAGTAGCACAGGGCGCTGCTTGCCCTTCTCAGCTGCGGGGCTTTGGAGGAGGGTGGCCGGGCCCGGGGCCGTGCGCTCTGTGGCCTGAGCTGTTCTGCTGGTCTGCAGACATTGGCACCATCATGCGCGTGGTTGAGCTGTCACCCTTGAAGGGCTCGGTGTCGTGGACGGGGAAGCCAGTCTCCTACTACCTGCACACCATCGACCGCACCATAGTGAGTTCTCGCGCGCTCTGCTCCCCTGTGCTCGAGGCTTCCCGACCTGCTCTGTGCAGCCACCTCTGCCTTCTCCCAGAGTCCTCCACCCAAGGACCGTGTGGGCTGAACAGGAAGGGCAGCGAGTGGCTCACAGTCAGGGCTGTTTGTTGGTCTCAGGTTTGAACAGCACAGGGACAGTAACGGCCCACCTGGCTTCCTCACCCAGTGTCCCGGGAGGCTGGTCCTGTGCCTCTGCCACCCTCTTCCCAGTCTCTCTGCAGGAGACAGGACTCTGGGGCCTGAGGGTTGGGACTGTTGTGAGTGGCAGGGACAACAACTTTTTTGGGGGTTGAGTCACACTAGGCTTGCTGTTGATCCCAGCTGTGTGCTGAGTGCCTGTCACCTGGCTGTCCAGCGTGTCTGAGGTTCTCTGGGTGTCGCTTTTGTCCTGGAAATTTGGGACTCACTTGTATTAAGTGTTTTTTTTCCTCTTCCTTTTAGCTTGAAAACTATTTTTCTAGTCTGAAAAATCCAAAACTCAGGGTAAGTTGGTGTTTCTTTCTCCTTGACTTAGTGGTGTGGGTGTGGTGCTCTGTGTGCAGCGGCCAGGTTGTGAGGGACCAGGGGCCTGAGGGCCAGGGTCTCTGCATCCCTTGCTGCCCTCTGCCTGTGCGTCTGCCTCACTGCCAGCAGACCGGGCCGGCCGGCGGGGGGGGGCTGTGGTGTGAGCGTGCTGAGGCGGGGCTTGTGTGCAGGCTACTGGCTCGTTGTGCTGGCCTGTGTCCCTCCCCGACCAGAGGTGGGTGTCCCGCCTGTTGTGGTCTGCCTGACCTGTGTTTGCTCTCATGCCTGTCCTGCTTGCACAGTGGGCTTAGTGGTGCTTCTGCGGCTTCAGCTGCCTGGTCACTGGACACTCAAGCTGGTTCATGACCCTCCACTCTGTCCCTCTGGAGAGTCAGAGGAGTCCTTGTCCTTAAATGGACTGAGTTGGGCCCAGTGTGTGGGGGCCCTCTGGGCAGTGTTCTTCCTGGGATGTGGGTCTTCAGGAGAGTGCAGCTGTCCCAGGCTGGCTGGCATGGTTTTCTCATGACTGCAGAGTGCCAGTGCCTCTTGGTCAAGGGGGCAAATGCCTGGGCAGCTAGTGGCCTGCAGGTGGACCTCTGAGTTTCCCCTTGAGGGGCCGGGCTCGGACCTTGCGCTTGGGTCTTGCTCTCGGTCGGCTCGTGTTTGAGGTGTTTGGTTTCTTCTCACGGGCATTGGCGGAGGACACCGGCTGCCTGTGTGCCAGCCTGGGTCTCGTGCCGCGCTGCCCCCACGCTCTCACCTGTGCCACGGGGAGAGGAGCGACGAGCAGAGCTGAGTGCCAGTGCCCTCTGGACACGTGTCCCACGCTTTCTTCCCAGGAGGAGCAAGAGGCAGCTCGGCGTCGGCAGCAGCGAGAGAGCAAGAGCAATGCGACCACCCCCACCAAGGTCCCCGAGAGCAAGGCGGCTGCACCCACCAAGGTCCCCGAGAGCAAGGCGGCTGGGCCCGCTGAGGCCCCCAGGGTAAGGCGCCCTCTCACAGGGCCCCCAGGGAAGGCCCGTAGGACTCAGCCCCTGCCTCGGCCACAGAGGCAGTGCCTGCCATCCATTGGGGGGGGGCTACTGAGAGCAGCTGCCCTGCGCCTCGCCCCCAGCCCCTGGCACCATCTTGGTAATCAGCTGGACCCTTCATTCCTGCCTTTGCCCGTCAGGATTCTGGTGCTGAGGAGGAAAAAGCGGGGGTAACCACTGTCAAAAAGCCATCTCCCTCCAAAGCCCGGAAGAAGAAATTGAACAAGAAGGGGCGGAAGATGGCTGGCCGAAAGCGCGGGCGTCCCAAGAAAATGAACACTGCAAACCCCGAGCGCAAGCCCAAGAAGAACCAATCTGCACTGGATCTCCTGCACAGCCAGACCGTGTCCCGGACAGCATCCTCCTCGCCCCAGGGTGAGCAGCCTGACCCTGCCCGGGGCACCTCCTGGAGCCAGTGTCCAGGTGCCCTGGGGAACGACTGGCTGCCTCCTGCCCACCCTGCTGAGGGCACTGGGAGGAGCAGGGGTGGTCGTGACTGCAGGGGTGCGTACCGGTCAGCGCCCTCCTGCCCTGAGCGAAGCCCTGTAGCACGTAGGTGCTTTTTCATCCCATTCCTGCTGGCGGTTAGCACCTGCCTAGCACATGTGAGGCTGTGGGTTCCGTCCCCAAAACGACTAAGGCAAAAGCCTCGGTTCTGTAGCCCTGGAGAGCTACCCCGGATAGTCGGGGCATGAGGGCAGGCGTTCAGTGGCTGACGCCTGGACGCTGCCTTCTCCTGCAGATGCCTGCCGGTCACCTCACAGCCCGTTCTACCAGCTACCTCCCAGTGTGCAGCGGCACTCCCCCAACCCACTGCTGGTGGCGCCCACCCCACCTGCGCTACAGAAGCTGCTAGGTGAGCTGGCCGGGGCCCAGGAGGCCTGACTGGGGCAGCTGCCCTGGCCTGCAGTGTTTTCAGGACGGCTCGAGGGTTCTGTTGGTCATGGCTCCCACGCAGCTTGGGGTTGGGTGTAGAGGTTCTTCATCTCCAGTGTTCTCCAGAGACCCCTGCTGGACCTTCTGGATGGGTCGGCAGAGGCTCAGGTTGGGCCTGTGTGAGTGACTGAGGCTGACTCACCTCTGGAGATATTGATGGCTGTCCTGACTGGAGTACCAGACCAGGGTGCTGCTCAGCACCCTGTAGCGTCAGGACACCCACCCTGGAGACCAAGTCACTGCACAGGGAAGAATCCCAGCACAGTTCTCAGGTGGGCTGTATGCCCGGAGGGTGCCACGAGAGTGCAGGGCCATCTTGCTGTGCTGCACAGGGCACCCTTGTGGTGTGGGTGCTGCGAGATGTGTCACAGGGAGGGTGGGCATCGCCATGGTTGGGTGGCACAGCCTGGGCACGGCAGGCAGCCCAGGCCCCGCCCAGAAGAAGTGCAGTGTGCACTGTGCGTGACCTGAGGCCGAAGCCCAGCACTCCTGAAGGGCCGCCCCTCCCCTGCCCTCCCCTGCCCTCCCCTGCCCTGCCCTGCCCTCCCCTCTCCCCTCTCCCCTCGTGTGCTGTCTTCCAAGCCGTGTTGTGTCCCCCTAGAGTCGTTCAAGATTCAGTACCTGCAGTTCCTGGCTTACACGAAGACCCCCCAGTACAAGGCCAACCTGCAGCAGCTGCTGGACCAGGAGAAGGTGCGTGTGGCCCTGCCCTCCCCGCTCTGTCTGTCCTGCTGTGGGCACAAGGGGTGGCTTTCTGTCGCTCCCGTGCTGGCTCCACTGTCACCTTCTCAGTGGGTCCTTGAGCTCTCTTCCCGTCTGTCCCCTACCCACAGGAGAGGAACGCCCAGTTGCTGGGCACCGCACAGCAGCTCTTCGGCCACTGCCAGGCCCAGAAGGAGGAGATCAGGAGACTCTTCCAGCAAAAACTGGATGAGGTAGTGGCCTGAAGGCCGTGCGGCTGCCTTGGGCCTGCATCCTAGCAGTTATGACCAGGGGCTTGGTGGAGGGCGGTGAGGTCCAGGGCAGCTTGCCCTAGCCCTGCCTGCCTTTATGATGGCATTCTGTCAGGACGGCGAAGGCTTGCGGAGGAGGGAAGGGCCCCGGTCCACTTGCAGCCACGTGGGGCTGCTGCTTCTGTGTTCTGGGGCAGGGCTGCAGATGGTCACTCCTTTCACCTCTATCTTCTCTGCTGTCACCAGTATGCACCCCACCCTCTAGTGTCCCCAGGGAAATGAGTAGCTCCTTCTTTCTGCCATCCATCCCATCACTCCCTCCCCTGTGGTCCCTGGCAGCCGTGGGGGCTCCTCAGGCTGCCGGGGCGAGCTGTTCCTGCACCCACGCGTGTCTTGCTGTGTCCCCAGCTGGGTGTGAAGGCCCTGACCTACAATGACCTGATCCAAGCCCAGAAGGAGATCTCTGCTCACAACCAGCAGCTGCGGGAGCAGTCCGAGCAACTGGAGAGGGACAACAGCGAGCTGCGCAGCCAGAGCCTGCAGCTGGTATGTGCACGCATCAGGCTGCGGCTTCCAGAGTGTTCTGGAGTAGGCTGGGTCTCCCTTGGGCACATGGGCCCAGAGGCCTGTCACTGACTAGTCGGCCACGGAAGGCTGATGTCCTCCAGGAGCTCAGCTTCCCCACGGCCCTGCTCAGGATGTCTGTGAGGCCCTGTTCAATCCAAGCGGGCCTTCTGTGGACCCTGCCTTAGACCATGCTCCAGTCCTGTGGCCCCACTTCTCTGGGGGCACCTCACACGTGCCACTGGACCTCTAGGAGCCTTGCTTCTCAGGGTGTCCCCTGCCAGGTCACAGGGCACTCCTTACCTCGCCCCTCGTGGGTCGGTGATCTTGTGTACCACAGGCTCTGTCAGGGCCCTGGCTTGCCACACTGGCATCCAGATGGGGAGCCGTGCTCCAGGCAAGCAGGGCCATGCCCCTGGGCGCCCTGCCGCCAGAGTGCGCTCCTGGTCTTCCCTGCCATTGGGGTCGGGCTGGGCTGGGCTGGGCTTGCTGCCAAGACTCCTTGTCCCTGTGGCTGCAGCTCCGGGCCCGGTGTGAGGAGCTGAAGTTGGATTGGTCCTCCCTGTCCCTGGAGAACCTGCGCAAGGAGAAGCAGGCCCTGAGGAGCCAGATCTCGGAGAAGCAGCGGCACTGCCTGGAGCTGCAGGTGAGACCCCCGACTTCCAGCCTGAGAGGCGTCCCTGAGGGCAGCCTGTCTTCACACCATGGGCCTGTCCTTGTCCTGTCAGGCCCCTGCTGTGCGCAGGCTGTGGCAGCTGGGCACCAGCTTACTCCCACCCCTTGCGTGGCCTTGGTGGCAGGGATACACCCCAAACCTCCAATGTCCTGGGCACTTCCTCATAAAAATACCTGGCAAAGTGGTCCCTGACAGAACTTGCTTATTCCAAAACCAGCTCGGGGGCTGGGGCTGGGGCTCAGTGGCAGCGCTCTCCTAACACGGAGGAGGCACTGGGTTCGATCCTCAGCACCACGTAAAAATAAAAACAAATAAAATTTAAAAAATGTGTTTAAAAAACAAACAAAAAAACCCAGCACGTACCCTGAGACGTGAGAGGTGTGTCCACTCAGAAAGCGTGGGGAGGCGGGGCAGTGTGTAGGCCTGCCCTCCCAGGCCATGCACAGTACTGCCAGGTAGTAGTGCGGAGGGAAGCGAGGGGGCTTGCAGTGAGCACCTGGACCCCTCTGAAGGCCATACCTCCCAGGGCAGGCTCCCTGTTACTGAAAAGGTCCCTGTCGCTGGGCGCTTAGCCTGGGATGGCTCCTCACGAGACACTGGGATACATTCAGCATGAACTCCCGACAAGTGGCTTCCCTGGCGTTTGAAGGCTCCGGGGCACATTGCCCGCTGCATTTCTGCACTGTGCCCTGCCGAGCATCACTGTCTCCAGCAGCCTCGCTGGTGTGTCCTGTAAAACAGGAGCAGCCGGGCATGGTGGCACGCGTATTGCCCCAGCTTCTCTGGGCAGAGGTGGGGTTGCTTGAGACCAGCCGAGGGACACAGCGAGACGTCTCAAAGATAACAGGGAAAGGAGCTGGCGGGCCCCGCCCACACCGTCCTGCGCAGCCTCTGGCCTGGGAGAGGTCCTCATGCCAGGCCCTCATGGCTTCTGCCCTTCCCAGCACGATGGGCTCTGAGTGCTACGTCCGTAGTGGGCTGAGGGGCCACAGAGCAAACTGCCTGAATGGAAAGTGTCCCCTCAGCACCAGGAAGGAGAGGCTGCAGGTCCAGTGTGGCCCGTCCTCCACAGCGTTGCTGAGTGTTTCTAGGCACACAAGTCTGTTCTGACAGAAGTGGGTCACTGTGCTTCCTGTGACTGCTGGAGGCATGTGCTCTCCTCTCGAAGAGCACGTGTCTGTTGGCCTGTGACATCCGCGTGTCGTGTATCTGCCACCCCATCCTTAGATCTCTGCTGCCTGGGTCTTCTCGCCCTGTGTGTGCCCATGGCATCCTGGCAGCTCTGGGGTGGCCGTCTTGTACCTTCCTTGGGAGGGTCCCTGAGGGTAGTGGCTGGCTGGGAGATAGGCCTGGCCGCCCTCCCATCCCGTCGGACGGCTCCCTCTTGCCCTGCAGATCAGCATTGTGGAGCTGGAGAAGAGCCAGCGGCAGCAGGAGCTTCTGCAGCTCAAGTCCTGCGTGCCGCCTGACGATGCGCTGTCCGTGCACCTGCGCGGGAAGGGCACCCTGGGCCGGGAGCTGGAGGCAGAGGCCAGCAGGCTGCACCTGGAGCTGGACTGTGCCAGGCTTGCCCTGCCTCACGTGAGCAGCATGAGCCCAGAGCTCTCCATGAATGGCCACGCCACCAGCTATGAGCTCTGTGGTGCTCTGAGTCGGCCTTCTTCCAAGCAGAACACCCCCCAGTACCTCGCCTCCCCCTTGGACCAGGAGGTCGTGCCCTGCACCCCCAGCCACAGCGGCCGCCCCCGGCTGGAGAAGCTGTCGGGCCTGGCCTTGCCCGACTACACCAGGCTCTCCCCAGCCAAGATTGTGCTCAGGAGGCACCTGAGCCAGGACCACGCTGGGCCTGCCAAGATGGTTGCCAGTGAGCTGCACCCGCGGTGAGTGCAGTGGAAGGGGCAGCAGCCACAGAAAGAGTTCTGGGTTTGCCCGGCTTGGTCCACCACAGCTCCAAGGGGGCTCCTGAGTCGTTGTTTCTCATGGCAGAGCTGAGCACGCCAAGGAAACCAGCCTTCCCTGCCAGAGCCCTGGCCTCTCAAGCAGCATGAAGCTGAGCCCTCAAGACCCCCGGCCCGCTTCTCCAGGAGCCTTGCCCATAGCAGGAGAAAAGAGCAGTGAAAAGGTGAGGTGCTGGCCTCTGGGAGCCTCGGCTTCGGGCTCTGCAGGCTGAGTGCTGGGCAGGGCAGGCTTGTCAGGGCTTTGGGAGGTGCCCAGCAGAGCCATCCTGAGACATGTTTAGGAGAGTGGGTTGCCCTTTCTAACTTTGGGCTTGATGGGACACAGTTTTGCCTGGAGGACATGTGGGTAACTGACCTGTGCAGGCCTCAGGATGCAAATTGTGGCGGCAGGCAGGGCTCCGTCAGGGTCTCCCTCGGGAAGCTGTTTATTCCCAGGGTGGGGAGCGCTGGTGGGTGCTGGGTGCAGTTTAGGAGGCCGTTGCCCCATGGTTTTGTGGTAGGGAGCCTCTTGCATGTGTGCAGGGATGGAGAGGAGGTGGGGGGTGGGCAGGGGGTGGGGGAGGATGCCCTGCAGGCAGGGAGCCAACAGTGCAGCAGGCGGAGTGGTCTGGAGACGTGTTCCGATGAGTGGCCCTCTGGGATGTCCAGGAGGCTGGGACTGCACTGGCGAGGGCATAGGCTATGCAGCTGTAAGCCCAATGGGCCTGAGAGGTGCCGTCACCATGGAAGACAGTTACTGTGGGGGCTGCCAGCTAGAGATGGATGCTACTTGTCCCTTGCAGGAGAGTGGGGGTGGTGTACTGAAGGCTGTGCTCCTGGGTTGGGGTCTGCTGAGCCTGGCTGGGCCAGTAGTGACAGTCTGGCGCTTGTCAGCAGAGTGGGAAGGAGCGAGCCTATGGCAGCCATGGGGAGACCATCACCAGCCTACCCATCAGCATCCCGCTCAGCACTGTGCAGCCAAACAAGCTCCCGGTCAGCATTCCCCTGGCCAGTGTGGTGCTGCCCAGCCGCGCCGAGAGGGTGGTAAGCAGGGCTGGGGCTGGGGCTGGTGTGGGGCTGGGGCTTTGGGGGCCACGTGTGGCCAAGAGGGGTCCAGGGTTCTTTTTTTTTGGTGGATGGGGGGCAGAATACCTTTATTTTATTTTATTTTTTAACGTGGTGCTGAGGATCGAACCCAGTGCCTCACGCATGTGAAACAAGCACTCCACCACTGAGCCATCACCCCAGCCTTCTCATTTGTTTTTATGGGGTATCCTTTTTTGTTAGATCACGCCCCATTGCCAGACATGGTGGTGCACTCTGGTGACCCAGCTGCTCAGAAGGCTGAGGCAAGAGGATCACAAGTTGCAGACCAGCCTCAGCAACTTAGCAAGACCCTGTCTCAAAGAAATAGGGATGTGGCTCAGTGGTTCAGTGCCTCTGGGTTCCGTCCCCACTACCCAAATTATAAAAATCATCTAATTCGTATGCTATAAAATCTCAAGCATCCGACTCCAGAGAAAGGGCATTCAGAGTGCAGATTCAATGGTGCAGTGCCTGCTCTTTTACCTGTTGTCTGGGCTGGGTGGAAAGTGGCCCGAGTGGGCAGAGGGAGGAGAGCCTTAGGATCAGGAGAACTCGGGTCCCGCACCCGAGGCCTGTCTCCTGCTGCTCCCGAGCAGTGCCCTGCCTGAGTGGCAGCCCCTCGTCTCTCATGGGTGGACCTGTGGCAGCTCCACCTGGTCTCTTAACTGGACGTGACGTGTGCGTGGCTCACCCACACGTGTAGTTCCTGGGTTTTTGGATGTCCACAGTCTCCTCTCCCCTGGTCTTCATTTGGCCTACAGTCCTCCTGGCCCAGTTCCTGGCTAGGGCCTCCAACCCCCTCTGCCATCCCTTCTTTGTCCTGCTCGGCCTGCTGACGTGCTGTGGTCTCTCTCACAGAGGAGTACCCCCAGCCCTGTGCCGCAGCCCCGAGACTCTTCGTCCACCCTGGAGAAGCAGAATGGTGCTAACACCCATGCCGCTGGGAGTAGTGCAGGAGGCAGGGGGCTCTCTCTGGCACCCACAGGTAACCCCTTTGGGGGGCCATTCCTGGGACTGGCAACCACTACCTCCTCCCTGGGACCCATGTACCCAGGCCTCCACCACTGCTGCGGCCTGTTATGCAGGAGGGTCCTGGGGCGCTGGGGTGGATGAGACCTCAGTGGGGACTGTGAGCCAGGGCCTTGCTAGCTGCTGCCTCTCCTAACCCCACAGCCCTACAGATGCATGGGTCAGGTCACATTGGCCTCAGCACCCCCCAGCAGTGCAGTCTTGGCTGTGGCCACCACAGTATGCAGCTCTGACCTTGAGCCTGGGTTGCTGAGCACTGAGAGGTGCTCTGAGACATCGTGCAGTAGGTCCCCATCCAGCAAGGTGTTGCCCTGGTCATTTGCCAGCTTGAAGGTTGGGATTTCTAGGCCCAGGATATGGGGACTGGCTTAGAAAGTTGCCCGAGGTGTCATGTGGGGTCTGCTTTTACCTCAGAAGGGCTTGCTTCTGCCACAGCTGTCCCAGCCGGAGAGCAGCCACAGCTCTGTAAGTGCCTGAGTGAGGCCTGTCCCAGCGAAGCCTGACCTGCAGGTGCAGAGGCCATGCCCACGTCCCCATAGGTCGCATACAGAAGGCCACTGTTCGACAGGCCTCCATGCCCCTGCTCCATGTCCTCTAGCTCTAGTCCACAGTCCAGTGCTAACAGAGACACTCTGCATCAGCACCAGCTGCCCAGGGCGGTTTTCCAGCTGGACGAGCATTTGTTCTGTGAGGTAGTTTTGGTGGCCCTTAGAAGCTTTAGGTAGGGGTTCCACGAAGGGACCCGGGTGAGTGGGGCTGCGTGCTTGCTGTGGACAGGCCCCACGCCTTTCCAGTTACCAGAGAAGCCCCTGGTCCCCAGAGTCAGTAGAGCACACCATACCTACTCTGACCTCCCAGCTCCTTACTGCCATCCATTCTGTCTGTCCTCGTGGTGTGGGGCAGCTGCGCGTGGACCTGTCATGGGCTCCCCAGGGCCAGCAGGATCTCCCCAGGTTTCCCCATGCTCAGCGGTGTGTGTGGAGAACGCGGGTGCAGTTGGTGGTGGGAGGGATCTTCTCTAAGGCCTCTGCTGGTAGTTGGTGCCCAGAATGTGTCTCTGGCCTGAGCACTATGCTGCCACCACTTGCTTCCTGTCCTGACTCCCTGGCAGAACCAGAGACCTGGCCCTACTGTCCCTGGGAGGTCCCAGAAGTATGTCCCGCACATGGTCCAGAAGTGGCCTGAGGCTCTGAGCCCAGAGTTGCCTCTGACCAGGAGCGAATGGACTGGCACACAGGCTTTTCCCGTACCGTGTTTGTGGCTGAGGGCAACAGAGCACTCTTGCTTTCAGGGGAACGTCTTACCAGCTGGGCCCCCTGTGGCAAGGGCCTGCTGAGGTGTCTCAGTGGAGGGCTGAGGCCACAACTGCTCAGACAGGCAGGAGGGAGGGTCCCCTGCGGGTCTGGAGAGGAAACAGACCAAGGCCAAGCTGGTTTGGGAATGTCCGCCCCGCTGGCCCACAGCTGCTGCCGTGCAGTTAGGGCTGTGGGTGGCGTATGGTGCCAGCAAGTCCCAAAGTCGATGTGGGGCTGGGAGATGGCGGGGCACGGCCGGGGCGGGTCCTCTGACATCCTCTTCTCTGAGACCCTGGACCACTCCGCTCTCCCCCTCAGGAGAGAGAGCTTCTGCAGTCACCAGATCGCAGCTGGGAGGCCGCTGTGGCTCCCAGGACCAACCCCGCTTTCTGGGCTCTCCCTCTTCCTTTTTGGCCAGGATCGGGGCACACTAGGTTCTCTGGGGGCAGGCCTCCTGAGAAACTCACGCCTTCCTTGGCAGGATTCTACGCTGGCTCCATGGCCATCAGCGGGGCCCTCGTGGGCAGCCCTGCTCCACTCGCCTCTGGAGCTGAGCCTGTGGCCCTGGATGAGCCCTCCAGCTCCGGGAGCCTCTTCACCACTGTGGGGTCCCGCAGCACCACGCCGCAGCACCCTCTGCTGATGCCGCCCCGACACCCGGGCCCCGCCTCTCCTGCCCACCCGCTCTCTGCCAGTCCTCGGCTTGCTGGTGCCACCCAGTGCCCACCTCCTGATGTAGGCAAGGGAGACTTGCCCTCTGATTCGGGCTTCTCAGACCCGGAGAGCGAAGCCAAGAGGAGGATCGTGTTTACCATCTCAGCTAGTGGGGGCAGCACCAAGCAGTCGCCTTCCACCAAGCACAGCCCCCTGGCCCCAGGAGCCCGCGGAGACTGTGGGCAGAGCCACGGGCAGGACAGCCGCAAGCGTGGCCGGAGGAAGCGCACGTCAGCTGGGACCCCAAGCCTGAGCACAGGCGTGTCCCCCAAGCGCCGGGCCCTGCCGTCTGTTGCTGGCCTCTTCACACAGTCCTCAGGGTCCCCCCTCAACCTCAGTTCCATGGTAAGGACCAGGGCAGCCGCACTGCAGGGTGCACACAGCAAAGAGCCCTGGAGGGACGGTGGGTGTCCAGGAGGCAGAGACCGAGGGGCAGACCCTAGGGCTTCAGGAAAGCTTGGCCTGTCCCCTCTGGCTGGTCCTAGAGAGGCTGGCTGCAGTGTGAGGGGGGCAGCATAGTCTGCTTCTCTGGGATCCAGAGTTTTGCAAAAGCAGGACACGTACCAGGTGGGGAGGTGCCTGGACAGTAACCGTAGCTGGGCAGGTCTTCAGATGCCTCAGGAGGTATGGGACGTGCCCCCGGTGTCCCCAGAACCCTGGGTTGGTCAGAATCTTGTGAAGCCCGTTAGGTATTGTGCTTTGGGATCTACGTGTCCATGTTTTTGCGTGTCTGTGCATCTGCCTCTGTTTGGCCCTCAGGTCAGTAACATCAATCAGCCCTTAGAGATCACGGCCATCTCATCCCCTGAGAACTCACTGAAGAGTTCCCCCATCCCCTACCAGGACCATGACCAGCCGCCCGTGCTCAAGAAGGAGCGGCCCCTGAGCCAGACCAACGGGGCCCACTACTCCCCATTGACCTCTGACGAGGAGCCAGGTTCTGAGGATGAGCCCAGCAGCACCCGGTGAGTGGGGGACAGGACAGCAGCCTCCCTGGGACAGGACTCTACACAGGCAGGGTGGGGCGCACCTGCCTAGGTGTGGGGGGGGCCTCCTGACCTGGGTCAGCCCTGGCTTCAGAGGGCGATGCTCTCGAGCAGACAGACCCCTTGGGGAAGGCTGCCCGGCCACCTCCCTCAGGGTCAGCCCATCTTGCCCACGGGCTGCGCACACTGTCATCCCAGGGACTCGGGAGGCTGACGAAGGAGCCCTGTGAATTGGAGGCCAGCTTCCTTAAGCACCTTAGTGAGACCCTGTCTCAAAATTTTGAAATGAAGGGGCTGGGGTTCAGTTGGCAGAGTGCTCGCCTCACATGCACTAGGCCTGGGTTCAATCCCCAGCACCGCAAACAGACAGACAAATGATAAACAGAAGCGGCCATTGGGCTGTGGCTGAGTGGTAGAGTGCGGGTGAGGCCCTGGGTTCCATCTCGGCACCACATAAAAATAAATAAATACAAATAAAAGGCCTGTGTCCAACTACTACTAAAAAAAAAGGTGAGGGGCTGGGGTGTAGCTTGGTGGAGTGCTTTCCTAGCACGCGTGAAGCACTGGGTCCCATCCTCAGCACATTGTAAAACTAAGTAAATAATAAAGGTATTGTGACTATCCAAACGAAAAAAAAAAAAAACTTTTTTAAATTAAAAAAATGAAGTTTTAGGGGCTAGGGCTGGGCTGTGGCTCAGTGGTAGAAGGCTTGCCTAGCCTGTGTGAGGCACTGGGCTTGATTCTCAGCCCCGCATATAAAGAAATAAAAATGAAGTTCCTTCAAAAACTGAAAAAATATTTCCAAACAAAACTGAAGTCTGAGCGCCTTCGGTGCCTGTCGCCTTCCTGGCCAGCTGTGTGGAGGTGTGTCTCCTTCTGAGCGGCAGCGTCTTGAGGTGTGGTTCTCACATGGTTCTCCCACTTACAAGCTGCAACTCAGGGGTCTTGAGTCCACTCACAGGGCTCTGCAAACCTCTCCATCTGGGTCCAGAACATTCCATCGCCCCAGAAGGAAGCACATTGCTTTGAGCAGGTCCCCGTCCCTCCCCAGCCCTGCACCCACAGATCCACATGCCATCTCTAGACTCCTGTCCTGGTCGTCTCCTGTCACAGGGTCACACACGCTGTGGCCTTGTGTGTCTGATTCCCACTGAGCACCAGGTCCTCGGGTCCATCCACACTGCAGCTGCCGCCTCGCTTCTGCTCGCGGCCATGGGCACTGGACACTTTGGGTGGGTGTGACAGTTGAGTCCATCTGTTTATTAATCAGTGGATACTTGGGCTGTCACCACCTTTGGATGTCGTGAATCTTGCCGTGAACATGGCTGTTTGTTTGTAAATAGGTTTTCAGTTTACCTTGTCCCTTGCAGTGGAATTACTGGGCTCTATGGTGATGCTGTTTTTAATCTTATGTATTTATGTTGGCACCAGTAATTGAATCGAACCTAGGGGCCCTTAACCCTGAACCACATCCTCAGTCCCTGTTTTTTGAGACAGGGTCTCTCTAAGTTGGTTAGGACCTTGCTAAGTTGCTGAGGCTGGTCTCCAGCTTGCAGTCCACCTGCCTCAGCATCCCCAGCCCTGGGATCACAGGCCCGCACCACAGCACCCAGCCTGTTTTTTTGCTTTGATTTTCCCTGGGTACTAGGCAATGGACCCAGGTTGCTCCTCCCCCGCCCAGGCTGGTTTTGAACTTGCCATTCTCTGATCTGGGCCTTGCGCTCACGTTCACGGCTCCATGTGTGCCTTTGGACCTGCGTTTGGTAATCCGCCCACCCCGTTGTCTTGTGTGGTGTGAGCATCCTTCACACAGGCAGCTACCCCATGGCCGTGTGTGCTGGCCACACATCCTCCTCTGGTGACTGGAGTGTGCCCAGCCTGGTGGTGTCCTTCTTAGAGGTGATGCCGTCCCGGGTGCTGTGGTGCGATAGATCTGCATCCCTTGGATTCTGCTCCTCCCGTGGTGAAGGCTTTGCCCCTGGGCCTTCCCCACGGGTATTGGGAGCAGCTGCCCGAATGGTTTCAAGATCTTCCGAGTTGGGTGCTGCTGAAGTGGTGACGGTGGCAGTGCAGTGCCAGGCCCCTCGAGCCGTGTGCTTCCTCTGAGTTGGGACTCGCATTTCACTCATCTGTTGGGACCCAGCAGGGTCTGAGGCCCTGTGTGTGTTGTGGGGGTGTTAGGCCCTACTTCCTGCTGGACCTGGCCCCAGCTGTGTTTGAGGGTCCCCCATGCAGGGCCTGGGAACAGGCTTGTGTCCGTCACTTTCCAACTTCCCTGGGCGGTTTGGTGTTAGCGGTCCTGTACACACCCTCGGATGTCACATGTTAATGCTGTTTTTTTCCCTTAACAGAATTGAGAGAAAAATTGCAACAATCTCCTTAGAAAGTAAATCTCCCCCCAAAACCTTGGAAAACGGTGAGTGGAAATGCTTCCTGCTGCTTGTTCCCAGCCTGAGGCTCAGGCTCGTGGTCAGGGCCCGTCCCTCCCAGGCATGTGGCCTTACCACTCAGGGTCACCCTGCATCCAGCTGCTCCCCTGTAGACCCCTGCTTGGGGGCCACCCTGGGCTGCACTACATCTTGTGGGCCTGCCTTGTGCCCTTGGGGACACTCACCTCATTGCCAGTCTAAGTCAGACCAGCTAGTTTCTTGGCCAGCCTGCCCCCACCCCCAAGAGCCCCAGTCGTGGGCTCCGACCTCCATTCCTTCCACCTGCACAGCCCTCCCCTCCCTTTGGGGTGGTTGCACCTGAGTGCCCAGGACACAGTGCAGGGCTCTGTTCTGAGGCCACGTGGTCTGACTCTCCAGGGCTTCCTCTTGCCACTCCTCACTCCCCTCACCTGGCCCTGCAGCCTCCCTGAAAGGGGTGCCAGGTCCCACGTCAGTATCTCAGTGGCTCACACCTCTGCTGCTCTTCAGCAGGTGGTGGCTTGGGACGGAAGCCAGCCCCTGCGAGCGAGCCCGTCAACAGCAGCAAGTGGAAATCCACCTTCTCACCCATCTCCGACATTGGCCTGGCCAAGTCTGCAGACAGCCCCCTGCAGGCGAGCTCCGCGCTCGGCCAGAGCTCCTTGTTCGCCTTTCGGCCAGCCCCAGAGGAGCCTGTCACGGCCGAGGCCAAGCTTGCCACCCACCCAAGGAAAGGCTTTTCTGGCCCCCTGTCAGGGGCAGATGGGCTCAGCCCAGGCGCCAACCCTCCCAACGGCCTGGCCTTCAGCGGGGGCCTTGCCGCGGACCTCAGTTTACATGGCTTCAACGACGGTGCTTCCCTTTCCCACAAGGGCCCTGAAGTGGCCGGTCTGAGTGCCCCACTGAGCTTCCCCTCCCAGCGGGGCAAGGAGGGCCCCTCTGAGGCCAACCCCTTCCTGAACAAGAGGCAGCTGGAGGGCCTGGGTGGCCTGAAGGGTGAGGGTGGCCCTGGCAAGGAGCCCACTGAGCCTGGCCTGCCCCCTTGCGGGCCCACGGACAAGGCTGCCCTGCCACACGGCAGCCGGCCCAGCAAAGGCCGGGACCGCGAGCTGGACTTCAAGAACGGCCACAACCTCTTCATCTCCGCTGCGACGGTGCCTCCTGGGGGCCTCCTGGGAGGCCCTGGCCTCGCCACCGCAGTGTCCTCTGCCGGCAGCGCAGCTCCCGCCACCCAGGCACACCGCCCCTTCTTGGGCACCTTCGCCCCTGGGCCCCAGTTCACCCTGGGCCCCATGTCCCTACAGGCCAACCTCGGTTCTGTGGCTGGCTCATCCGTGCTACAATCCTTATTCAGCTCCGTGCCGGCCGCCGCGGGCCTGGTACATGTGTCGTCCGCCGCAACTAGACTGACCAACTCCCACACCATGGGCAGCTTCTCTTCTGGGGTGGCTGGCGGAACCGTTGGAGGTAGGCGGAGGCAGGCCTTCCTGAGTCCAGCTTCCCCAGGGCAGGGCTCTGGTCACCCAGGGGCGCCTCCCCCAGGAGCGCTCAGGTCTTCACTGCTGCTGTGCTGGTCCTTTGGGAGCCCCCTAGAGGGCCGTGCTGGGCCATGCAGCCCCTGCACCTTGGCAGGCTCCGCGGGGTGTCCTTTTCTTGAGACCCAGATGATTGTCGTGAGGCGGAGGACTCTGGCCGGTTCAGCCTGCATCAGGTTCTTGTTGTAACACGTCCCTCTTGTTTTCAGAAGAGACGGTTCACATAACTAGGGCAGTCCTTTCTGCCAGGGAGGCCACCTGGTTAAGGGTGACCACTGCAGCAAGGCCAGGGGAGCTGGCCTTGGGCAACAGGGAGCCCGACCACGCCTACGCAGACCCCGGGTGGAGTGCAGCCCGGGCCAGGCGTAGCGCGTTGGAGCTCCCGGCTGGGCGCGGGCGGGCAGGCCGGCCCGAGGGGCGGGCCTCGGCTGGCTGCAGGTAAGTGCCCTGCGCTGCGCCCTGCTGCTTGCCACCAGTGCTGCCTGTGACCCAGAGCCGCAGCTGCCTGGCTTCTCCTGCGGCTGTGCTCCTCTTGCTTGGCTGGGCCGTGCCCGCCTGTTGAAGCTCTTTTCTCTCCTGTTTGCAGGTGTCTTTAACCACACGGTGCCTTCTGCCTCTGCTCATCCGTTTGGAGCCAGTGTCGGCAGCGGGGCTGTGTGTAGCAGCGCCACGCTGGGCCTGAGCCCGCTGCAGGCGGCGGCCAGCACCTCGGCCTCTTCCTTTCAGGCCCCGGCCTCGGTCGAGACTCGGCCGCCCCCTCCGCCTCCGCCTCCGCCTGCCCCGCTTCCTCCTCAGCACCTGGGCCGGCCCCCTGCGGGGCCGCCTGTCCTCCATGCCCCCCCTCCTAACGTCGCCTTGCCTCCTCCCGCCGCGCTGCTGCCCTCTAACCCTGAGCCCATGCTTCTGCAGAACCTAGCGTCTATCCCGGCTAACAAAGCTTTCTTACCCTCCTCCTCGGCCACCTCTCTGCAGCCTGCTAACGCCTGTCTGTCTGTCAAGCTCGCCTCCCTCCCGCACAAGGTCTCCCGCCCCTCCTTCACGGTGCACCACCAGCCCCTGCCCCGGCTGGCCCTGGCGCAGGCCACGCCCGCGATCCCGCAGGCCAGCTCCACAGGGCCGTCTGCTGTGTGGGTTTCCCTTGGCATGCCGCCTCCGTATGCCGCACACCTTTCGGGGGTTAAGCCTCGATAAAGACTTGCTTAGCTAGCAGTTCCTATTCTGTAAGGTAAGGCTAGAGCCACGCAGGCGGTGCTCTCGAGAACTCAGCCCTCCCTCCCGTGGCACAGAAGACGGCCCACAGGGCGCCACAGAGGGCCCCGGGGGAGGTGCCGTGCCGTGGGAGAGCTCCAGGCGCGAGGGCCACATGTGAGCGCAGGAGCTGCTGGGTCCTGAGGGACACGGGCTGTCCATGTGGCCCCCCAGCCATGGCCAGTCAGCAGATCAGAGAACAGCCACGGGGGCAGAGGTGCACCATGCCAGCTGCCACAGGGTTCAGGCGCAGTGTGCAGGGCCAGGGCCAGGTGTAGGGGTTGGCTGTTCTTGCCAAGCCCAGGTGACCCTGCAGGGCTGAGAAGTGGAAGGGGTAGCCCTGCCAAGACTGTGACAGACTGGCTGGCGGAGTTGCCAGGGAGCCAGGGCATGTGATGATGACCCTGGTCTGAGTCCTTGTGCACACCTCACAGGAATTAGGAAAACCCAAGGCACATGTAGCCCCTGGTGTGCCACAGGTCCCCAAAGGGGTTTGGCCTTGCAGTTCTAGACTGAGGCTCCTGCTGGAATTCCAGCCCCAGTTCCAGGCGGTCGCGGGCAGCCAGGTGGGGCTGTCAGGGCACACTGGGAACCGAGGCCCAGCCCAGGCCACAGGTGTGGCCACAGCAGTGCTGCAGCCATGACCCACAGCCAAGGGGCCTTGCCTCCCCCTGGGGACAGAGTGGTCCATGTCCACTCCACCCCTCGGCCAGTTGCAAGACCTCAGGGTGCCTGTCCTGTCCTGGCATCCTGTGGAGCAAAGGTGTGCTCACTGGGTGAGGAGTTGATGGTGGCTCTGACCTGCCCCCAGCATGTGGGAAGTAGAGACAGACAGGATGCTGACCACTGGGCTGGTCAGAGTGCTGCTCACTCGGGGGCTGGAGACAGAGCTACGTCTGGCCCCCCGTCTGAGAAGTGCCAGCAGTAGGGTGGCCGCGGTCAGGACGGCTGAGCTGAAGAAGGCTGGGGTTGGCCGCGGCAGCGTCTGGGTGTCGGGCCCCCTGTTTGCCCACAGGGAATGCCTGCCTCTGTGGGTCTGCCGAGGTGTCCTGCAGGGCGGCCCTGGCGGCGTGGGGTGTGTTCTCTGAAGGCCTTCGGGCTGGCCTGGTAAGTGCCAGGCTCCGCCCAGCAGGCTGCTCATGAGGCTGCTCTCCCCACTCTGTGCCCCTGCAGGTAACTAGGACTTCTACCTCAACCGCGCGACTATGCAAGGATGGTGTGGACCAACGCGCCTGCTGCTCAGTGCTCGCTGGCCTACTGGGCCCCCACCTGGACGGCGGGGACAGGACAGGGACAAGGAGCTCCACTGTGAATCGGCGGCACGCGCAGGAGGTGCTGCCACAGTCCAGTTTGTACTGTCGATAGTTTTAGATAAAGTATTTATCGTTTTTTAAAAAGTATAAACAATTCTGACTTATTTTATTCCATCTAAGTCGTCAAAGGAACCTATTGAGAAGTATAAATGTCTATGTGAGAGAGTCTATATCTAGATACACAGACCTGCAGGGCTGCCCGCCCACGGAGACGCCGCCAGCCCGCCCGGTGCTATCGCGACACCAGGCCCGTGCCTGCCTCCACCTCTCGGTGCTGCCCTGGACACTGACCAACGCCAAGACCAGTCCTCAGAAACGTCCTCCCCAGCACCCATCACTTGATCCTGTACCAAAGGCTTGCCCGATTGTGAGCAGGGGGCTCTGTGGTCAGGGCCCTCAGAGGAGGCCCTCTTCCTGGTGGCCAGCACTGACCTTGCAGCCCTGCCTTCCTCTGGAGCCCCTTGAGCCTCCTGCCCCCACCGCCTCCTGCCCCCTCACTGTGAACACCCCCAACTGTCAACCTTTCGGCCTAGGGTCCAGCCTTTGGCATTCTGGGCAGTGGGCACAGCTCTGCGGCAGGCGCGGTTCTGACTGGTGCTCCCGAAGGCTCAGTGCCGGTGTCGTGCCCAGTGCAGTCACTTCCATGTTTGTTTTTCTTTGGTTTGTGGCACCCTGCTTGGTGACATGGGGCAGGCCCGCGGTGGGTCCCCTTGTATTTGTGTATCTGAGAGAGTCACACTGAAGAGTGACAGTATTTTATAGAGATGTGATGAGAATTTATAAATTTCATAGACTTGACTGCATTTATTTTTAGATTGTATAATGCACAGTGAACTTTAACAGAAGAGAAAGCAAGGGGGAAGAAACCTTTATATTTATTCAAATGCACAAAACTGGCATGGGCTCCAGGGCCGGCCCTCACTGCAGACCTCGCAGAGTGCGCCTCGGAGGGGCCTGGCCCACCCCGCCCTCAGGAAGGCGGGCGCCCTGTGCTGTCGGGGTGCTCTGGGCCTGCAGGTCTGGAGGGGATGCCGGCTCCTCTGGCAGCCTCGTTGGTGCTGAGAACGGACGCGTGGTGTAGCCACAGACGGGCCAGGGCTGCTGGGCCTCCAGGGTGTCCTTGCCTCTCTGAAGCCTCAGCAGACCCCTGGCTGCTCTTGAAGCCTGTCCCAGACCTGGTGCCCCTCCCCCTGCAGTGAGTTCTGCAGATGGTGCTGGTGACCCACCCCTCCTGTTGGTGCTCTCGGCCAGGCCTGCAGGTGCTGTGCCTCATTCCCAGGGGCTCCAGCCCAGCCCTTAGCACGGCAGTGCCCTGCTTGGTGTGGGGGACTGAGGGTCACTTCTCACCACACAGCTTCCCCAGGTGCCACAGGGTGGTAGAAGTGAAGTCCACACACAGCAAGTCCCGGGTCTGATGCAAACCCATTCTTTAAACACTGTATGCTTCCACCCACCTCCCCAGGTAGTGGTGGCTTGTGTGTGGGGCAGGCCATGCCAACGTGGCCTCCTGCCCACACACCTTCCTAGGACTAATCTGCACGTACGCTTGAGTGTCGGGAGATACCACCACGTGTTAGGCATGTGCCTGACACTGAGCCCTACTGGGTCTCAGGTGTCCCAGCAAGTTCCCTCTTGAGCCCACCAGGGGATGGGCATGTAACCCAAGCCCCAGCTGACCATGGGGCCAGCAGCCTCCTGTTCTCAGCACCCCAGGCCCCTGCTACCCTCAGAAACCACCCAGATTCACCCACTGCCCACGTGCTGGCACCCAGGGATGCTGGTGTGGGGCAGTGCTGACAGAGCTGTGCCGGAGTCTGGGGCTGACACCCGTCTCAGTTACCTTGGGGGGGGGTGGGTGCTGCTGGGTGCTGAGGGTGACTGCAGGGAAGCCCTGGAGCGCCAACTGGCTCCCGCTCAGGAATTGTCAGGAAGCCGTAAGGACTGGGCCCTGCAGGCTGCCTGCTGGTCAGCATCTACACTAACCTACGAACCTGGGACTCATCACCCTGTTGGACCACCCTCCTTGTCCTGGTGTAATGTCCATCCACATAGCCTTCCCTTGCCCAGCTTGTTTGTAACGCAGCGCAGCCTTGTTTCAACTCTGTAGTGTACTCTGTACTCGCTGGGCGCATGGCCAGCTCCAACCCTGGCGCCCGCTGCATTGTTCCACCTCTGGGCGCTATAATAAAACAGTTTTCACCTGGACCTGGTCTGAATGCCATCCTTTCTTCCTGGTGACATGACAGTGACGCGTGTCGTCCCCCTAGTGGGGAACCCTCCACCCACGGGTGGGGGTAGCAGCAGCTGTGGGAGCTGACAGTGGCAGAGGGGACCCTGCCTCGGGGAGGCCAAGCCCCACCCTTCAGTACTGGGCCTTGAACCCACACCCTCATGCATGAGCTGACCTGCGACCCAGCCTTGGTGGAAAAATGCTCGTCTTTTCTGGTCACACCCAAGCTGAGGTCTGCCAGCACCCTGGGTGCAGCCATAGGGTCATCCAGGATTGCTGCGACCCCATTCCTCCCTGGGCAGGGGCCTCTGCCACCATTCCCAACTCTCGATCTGAACTTTGAAAGGACCCCTTGTCCCTCACTTTCTCAGGAGGGGGCTCTGGCTGTCTGAGTCCCCTTCCTCTTTCCATTGACTTCACCACCACCTAGTCTGGAAAAGAGGTACCTTTATTGGACAGGGCAAGCTTGGCGACCTGGAGACCAGCGCCAGGGCCTGCGCCATCAGCAGGAATCAAGTTCACAGCTGGTGAGGGAGACCCTCACATTCACAGCTTCACAGAGCCTCGTACATACATTCAGCTGGCATGAGACAGTAGAGTTGTGCCAGTCAGATGCCCCCCTGGCCCTCAATGGATGCACCGGAGAGACCAGGCAGGGGCACGTGGCACTTAGGTGCCAAGTGCTGGACCGATCTGGGGGACCCCCAAGACGGGAGGGAAGGGCAAGCTGAGCGGTTTCTCAAAAGAGGCAGTCCCTGTCCATCCCACCCATCCTTAGGCCAAAGCACCTCCCACTGCAGACGCAGTCATGGCCAGAAACCCAGGGCAGAGGGCCCAGCCCAGGGTCAGTCCAGCTCATCCAGCTGGGAGCTGACACAAGCTGACTGCCCCTCTCTGGGCAAGCTGCTCAGCTGAAACCTGGTCTCCTCGGATATGCCGAACTGCTCCAGGGGGTCCTGTGGGATGGAAGGGTGGCCATGAAGCCGGGCCGTGAGAACTGCCCCTGCCACCTCCAGCCCCACACACACCTTGCCCGTCATCTTCTGTATCTCGTTCCTGTAGAAGATGAGGCTTCTCCGCATGTACTCGTAGCTGGAAGAGGGCAGGACTGGCAAAGTCAGAGCCTCATCCCATCCTCTGTGGCTGCTGAGCGGTGCCTCCCAGTTGTCCCCGAGCTCACCTGGCCCGACGCAGTGCCTCTGTCCACTGTTCACACTGCTCCTGGCTGCAGCACTCAAAGTGGTACTTCCTCTCTGGGTCCTCCACGAAGCCTGTGGGCGGACAGAGAGAGGGGGCCACCTGTCAGTCTCCACACCCTGCCGGCCACAGCCCCACCTTCCCCTTGCCAAGGCCTAGACTCCTCCGGCCCCTCCGCCTGCCACGAGCTGAAGAGAACACCGCCCCAGATTCCTTCGTCCTAAGCCCAGAGGTGACCCTGTCTGGAGTGAGCCTTTGCTGATGGAAGTCATCAAAGTGGACCCTAAATGCGGCGAGTGCTGCTCTGTAAGAGCAGACGCAACGGGGCGAAGCTCCTGAGCCAGGAACCGGGGATGCCTCAACGGGCACACAACGTGTCCGCCCAGCGGCCAGGGGCTTGGACGCGCGACGCGGGGCACTCACTGATGGAGAAGCCGCCGGGCTCTTCCTGCGCGACTCTGCAGCGCTCCAGCAGCAGGGCTCCGAGGGGCTGCGCGAGACACGGGCGTGAGCGCCGGCCGCCCGCGCGGGCCCCCCCTCGGCGCCCGCGCCCCTACCTCGGCCTCGTCCGTCCGGAAGTAGAAGAGGAAGTTGACCACCAGCTTCACCAGCCGCCGCTTGGCCACTGCGGGCACAACGCGGGCTCAGCGCGGGCTCAGCGCCGCCGCGAACCCCCCCCCCCGGCCAGACACCCGGGCCCGGCCCACTCACCGCTGCCTTTCTTGGGCCCCCGCATGCCCAGCTCCGCCGCCAGCTCCGCCGGCTGCTGGGACAGAGCCCGCAGTTCCTTCTCGTTGTAGCGCATGGCAGGCACCGCAGGGATACGGGAGCCAGAGTGCGGAGCGCGCGCCTCTCCTCCCGGCCGCCGTCCCCGGTGGCGCGGCACCGGCGCCACAAAAGTCTCAGGGAGCTGTCCCGGAAGTACCGACAGAGGTAGTGCGCCTGCGCGCCCCGAACGGCCTCTCCTTCCCGCAGCCGCTACGTGGCGCTGGCGTGCGGGGCCCGTGGGGGAGATCAGCTGCCTTTATAAAGTCATGAAATACACTGAGCCTGGGTCGGAAACTGGTTCACGGCAACCCCTTTGACAGGCGGTGCCCCTTCCCGAGGTGTACATGCGCAGGTGGAGGGCACGATAGCGTTTCCGGCCGCGTCTCAGTGCGTCCACTCTCGACACCCAGTACCGCGCGAACGAGGACCGAGAGTTCGTTGCGGACGTTGTACGCACGCGCCCTTCCTCGTCCAGCCTGCATTCAGATCCGCCCTCTTGCCCTCGCGCCTCCCGGTTGTCCATCCGGGCCGCGGGGCGGACCGGGCGTGCGCCAAAGGAAGCTCAGCTCCGTTGGTCCCGGAAGTGGCTCGGTCCTACGCGTTGCGCGTGCGCACGGAGAAGTCTTGGCGGTCGCCGGGAAGGCCTCGGAGCGTGGCCTTGGGCCCCGGTGAGGAGCGGCGCGGGCTGTGGGCGGTGGCCGGCCCGGGAGCTCGCTGGAGCGGGGTGGAGTGGGAGCCCGGCGCGCGGCGCGGCGCGGCACGCCCTCTCGGGAGGCCCGTTGGGGCGCGGGCGGCCTGGGTGGCGGAGGGCCTCGGGTCCCCGAGCGCCCGCGTTGGTTGCCGGCCCGGGGTCTCGCCGGCCTCGCAGCCCGTGAGCGCGCATTCCTCTGGCGCGGGCGGCCTCGGAGCTTTAGCTGGCCCCGTGCAGGCGCGCCCCGGCGGGACCTGGGCCGAAAGAGGCGGCCACTCCGCGCAGAGCCGGACGCCCGGCCCAGGACCCAGCGGCCACCTCCTCGAGTCTGGCGGCCGCTTCCCCTCGTCTGGTCTCTGGCACGGCACACTTCCCTCCCCCGAGGTGTCCGTTTAAGGCGTCCGGCTTCCTTAGCGGCCTCCCGCCCCGTCGGGTCGTCGGTCTTTGTTCCGGGCTGCGCAGCGAACCCGTGAGCCCTTGCCACTGAGCTACACCCCAGGTTCTTTTGTTTTTTTAATTGTGAGGCAGGGCCTCGCGGAGGCGCCCTGGCTGCCCCTCGGGGGACTGCGGGCCTGCACCACCTCCCCTGCACGCTGTTTTCCTGAGGTTGACTCTGCCGTCCGATGCTGAAAGGAGGAACCCGTCTTCTTGCACCACTGGTTTCTCTTTAAACCCCCAAGATCCCATGTGCACGTTGGTTGTATTTTCCATGTGTTTAAACAAATCGACTCCCCGGATTCCTGCTCTGCTTTGGACGACAGCCCTCAAGCTGCATCCACGTCCAGTCTGCTGTTGTGGAATTTGGTTCCCTGCCCTAGCTATTAGGTTGGCCAACTCTTTGTTCTCTCGGAACCCACAGCCTGTTAGTTTCTAAAAAAAAAAAACCAAATGATTTTTAGTTTTCTTTTGAGTCCTTGATTGTCTGGAAGTGGCCTTGTTTACTGTCCTTGATTGTCTGGAAGTGGCTTTGTTTACTCTCAGTGCCATGCCCAGCAGTTCGGGCATAAAGTCGGTTTATAGGGCTGGACTCTTCTGAGGCTCCAGGAAGAGTCCACATCCCTCCTCCTCCAGCTCCTAGAGATCCACGGCCACGGGCTCTTGGCCCCTTCCTTCAGCTCCAGAGCCAGCAGCCCGCTGTCTGCCAGCATCTCTGTGACTCAGCCTTCCTGCCTCCTGAGGACTCTGTTGACACTGGGTCCCAGATAGTGTAGGATGAGACCCCATCTCACAGCCCTTCACTTCTACTTGCAGACTCCCTTTTGTCATATGTGATCACAAAGGAATGGTTTCTGGGGATGAGAATGAAGATGTCCTTAAGAGCTGTCATCCACTGGGTCTCTGGGCTCGACCCTAACTGAGGGTTTGTGGCAGTCATTGAACAGTCTAGACAGAATGTTGGGTGACCAGAAAAAACTGCCTGGAGTTTGGGTTTTGAGTGAACATGATAGAATATGGGAACCCGGGGTGGCCTATAGGATTTTGAACAGGGTGTTTAGGATTCAAATAGCTGCAAGTAGCTCTTGAATATTGCAAATTAGGCAGAGGGGATCCAAAGATAGCTGTATTCCTTGCCTCCAGCAAATCCTAAGTGCTAGAGAAATAGAAATTAGGTTATAAGCAACAAATGTAGCCGGACAGAGCCAAAGCTAGAGGAGGGAGTGAGCCAGGCTTTGGTGAGTCAGGACAGCTTCCTGGAGAGGCTGAGGACTGTACAAGGAGTGACCTTGCCCTCCCTGGCCTTGGCCCTGCACGCCCAGGCTGGGCGCCTCCCCCTGCCCTCCAGAGTCACTGAGAGGCGCCACAATAACCTTCTAGGCCAAGAATAGACCATGTTTCCCTGCAGCCACCTAGTTCCATCACAGTCCAGTGCACTGTCAGACATGCTCCTTAACCAACCCAGATTGCCCTGCCCACCATCTTGTTGTCTGGGGCATCACCCAGGACCCCCACTAGCCAGGCCCCTGAGCTGGAGTCTCTGGAGATGCCTCTAGAGTCCCCCTGTTATCTGCCTGTCCCAGGGTGCCTGGCCACAGCTTTGGCAGGCGGCCTGTCCATCACACACACTCTCCTCTGTCGCGCAGGTTTCTCCCTGGTTCCTTAAAGCCTCAAAGCCTTCACCATGGATTTCCAGCATCGACCTGGGGGGAAGACAGGGAGTGGGGGTGTGGCCTCCTCCTCTGAGAGCAACCGCGACCGCAGGGAGCGCCTCCGGCAGTTGGCTCTAGAGACCATTGACATTAACAAGGTAGGCCACAGGGAGGTCTTGGCACCCTGTGCACAAGTGAGTTTCTTATTATTTTTTTTTTTTATTTTTGGTACTGGGGATTGAACCCAGGGGCACTGAGGCACACCCCGCCCTTTCTTGTATCGGATTCAGAGACAGGGTCTCCCTGAGTTGCTTAGGCCTTTACTAAGTTGCTGAGCCTGGCTTTGAATTCCCAGCCTCCTGCCCCAGCCTCCTGGGTTGCTGGGGTTACAGGTGTGGCCCCTGATCCCGGCAGAAGTCTGGTTTTGTAGGATAGCTAGAAAGAGCATGTGCTGCAGGGCTCTTTGGTCACGGAGGATGTTCTGTCTGGATGTCCCATGCCCCCAGTCACAAACCCAGGGCTCTGGAGTGTCCCAGCACCATCAGGCAGATGGTGCTTAAGGCTTTTGCTGGCCTGAGAGGAGGACCCAGCAGGTCCCAGACCTTCTGGCCTTAGTTCCCTGACCATAGACAGTGGGCTTCCTCTGCCTGACAGGATCTATTTTCTCCTCAGGATCCATATTTTATGAAAAATCACCTGGGATCGTATGAATGCAAACTCTGCCTGACTCTGCACAACAATGAGGTATGTTCTCTGGGCCCTACTGTGGGTCTGGCCTGCCACCAGCAGTGGTCCCTAAGCCCTCCCTGGCACTGACTGCCTCCGCTTCTCTTGGCCAGCCTCTGCCATGCTGCAGAGCCCAGCCCGATGCCCACCCCAGCTCCGTGTTTGCTCCGACTCATCTCTCTTTATTGTTAACTCTGAGAGGAGAACGGAGGGCATCACCTAGGACCCCACTAGACAGCTGCCAGCCCACTCACTGGACATTTGTTCCAAAGTGTGTCTTTCTGTGAAAGACGCCTATCGCTGAAGATGCAGGTCACATTCCCTCTGTCACCAGCTGTGTCCTGCACACTCGGCCCATGTGTCTGCTGGGAGCCCTCCCAGCCTCCCTTTCTTGCGAGGCCAGGGGGTGCGGGATGCTCTGCCTGATGTTTGATGGGCTGGCTCCAGAGAGGGGTCTCTGAGAAGACGGAGAGAGGGGTGGCGTGCTCTGGGGGCTCTCCAGCCTGTGTGGTTTGAGGATGTCCCCACAGTTAAGGCCTTTCTCCCATGGTTCTGGCAGCCAGGAGGTGGCTGTGGTGACTCAGTTGCAGGCTCTGAGCTGGTCTGAGCGTCCTCTGCTCTGCTCTCTTGAGCAGTGACGAGGCTCTATCTCTCGCGTGTCTCTGCACTCTGTTGAAATGAACTGTCCTGCACCTCAGGGCCTCTTCTCGGTGCTGTGGACACTGGCTGGATCATTCTCTGGGGTGGATGTGAAGTGGTGGGTCAGAGGGTGCCAGGTGTTGCGCTGCTGACCACACTGCAGCCAGGTGCAGATGTGCACATGCCAGCAGGAACCCACGGGCCCCTGTGGTGCTGGTCTGGGGTGTCCCATGTGTGCACTTCCTGTAGCGTGTCTTCCCTTCCCCGCACCCTGTGTGGACCTGTGGAGGTCCTGCCTTCACCGGGTCAGATGGCTGCCTTGCCCCTGGCTCCCTCTGTTCCTTATCTCAGTGGCAGACTGGCCTTGTTTATCCCTGTGCCCCACACAGGCCCTGGGGAAGACTGTTGGGTCTTTACTTGGCCTTTGTCATCATCCCTTCTCTCTGCAGGGCAGCTACCTTGCGCATACCCAGGGGAAGAAGCATCAGACCAACTTGTGAGTACCTTTGCCCCTGCAGCTGGTGCTGAGCCTCCGCTCGGGGCTCTGAAGTCAGCCAGGCTGCACCTAGGTTGGAGGGGGAGCCCCTCATCCGATGGGTGGGAGACGAGGAGAGGCTGTGTCCTTGGCTGCAGTGCACACTCTGCCTGCCCTTTACCCTGATGGGCTGGGGCTCAGTGGCAGAGCGCTCTCCTGGCACGTGTAAGCCTCTGGGCTCCATCCTTAGCACTGCAAAAATATAAACCAGTAGACTAAAGGCATGCTGTCCACGCACAACTACCAAAATAAAAACTAAAAAAAAAAAAAGAAAAAAGGGGGATTGGGATCTCTGAGAAGAGCAAGAGGCATGGCATGCCCTGAAGGACTCTAGCAGGCCCAGCTGACCATGACAAGGAGAGGGAGAGGCCTTCTCGGTTGTCCCTGTCCCTACATTCTGACCCCAGGGCCTCTCCCACTCCTCCCACTCTTTGTCTCCCTCACCTTGTAGAGGAGCTCCAAGGTCAGGGCAGGGGCTGAAGGCATCTGGGCCAGTGGCCTTGGTGGCCT